GGGGAGAAAACATCCTTGGGCCTCGCTTTAAAGGGTTTAACAAATGCTTCTTGTGCCCCATTAAATATTTAATATTTTTTCATTTGCAATGAAATCAAGTCCCAGCAGTATCTGTGCTCACCTAGCAATTTACTTTACCATAAACCATCCAAAGCAGCCCATTTATCCTTGTTACTTATTAATCGGGATGTGCAGGAAAACAAAAGGCAGACGTCGTTGATACCAACCAATAAGAGAAAAATAAATTCCAACAATTTCAGGAAACCAGATTTTTAAGTTTTCATTGAATATCGATGTTAATGTTGAAATATCGATAAGAATCGCATATATTTAAGAACAAAGGGCTCAAGTTTTTTAGCCAAATAGATCACTAGATTTTCAATCAAATTGAACTTTTCGAAAAACAAAGTATATTTTAAATTACCTTAAAAGTATTGAAACATTTATCACAAATTTGATATCGATACGGTATCGATAAGCTCACAAATGTTTGGTTTGCCACCTCTAGTCAATTAGTCCTAGCTGCCTGCTTATGCACTCCAATCACTGGGTTGAAGCTCATGAAAATTTAATAATGATTCCATATACAATTCGTTACCCACAAGCCCATAGTTTTTCCCCAATGACCAGGGCAAACTGTTGCACGAAGTTTCACATGGTTGATTACCAATCTGTGGCAATTATTTCATCCCGGGAAAACGCCAACTCCCCCATTATCGTTTTCGCATTGTTTATGCGTCAATGGGAAAACGAGTAAACAAACATGGCAATAAATAAGCGGCTAATAAGGATAATTGCCTGCTTTACAAATTGTCGCAAGGCAGAAAAAAGAAGGGCAAAAGGACTCAGGACACGGATAGGAGGCAGCACATCTACAAGTCAAAATAGTAATAAATTGCTAGAGAAAATTGTGTGGAGCGTCGGGAGAAAAACCGAGCCGCAAACCGGAACATATGGACAAGGATGCCGAGGAGGTCCTTTGAATTTTATGTGTGTGTGTGCGAAAAGCGCGAGTCGAGGAGGGGCATTCGAAGACAGACATCCTTATTTATGGTCGTGCGGTGCGGCAAATTAATAATGCGACTTTTCTCATTTGCTTGCCGTTTCGTCTCTGGCGCTTGTCCTTCTATGTAAATGGGACTTTGTGGCAGGAACTGCATTTAGCCCACAGCTGGGAGTCCTGTATGTGTGTATGTATGATAACAAAAAAACACTGAAACAATTTGCAATGTAAATGCTGATGATAATGTGGTTCCCTAAGCCAGTAATGATGATGATGAGGTGGACAAAGTCAAGTCAGCCTGTCTGGCTTCCCGTTTTTCACATTTGACCTCGTATGGCTCGGAAGTTTTCCTTTGCCCCAAAATGCTAATGAGCCGAGTCGAGGAATTCTTACTCTATCTCTCTCTCTTACTGACTTTTCCTTCGACTTTTCTTTGAAGTGTCACCCCTTTCGGGCAGTTGGAAAATTTATTGCACACTTCCTGTCGCTCAGTTTGTTTTTCCTGCTCCCCTTCAATTACATGCAATTCCTTCTTCTTTTTTATTGCATCCCGCATCGATCCAACGCAGAATGTGGTGTGTGATTAACGGGTGCGATTCGCCGAGTCCTTCGTCCTGACAGGCCGACATCCTCCTCTTCAGGCCTGCCAGCCTGCCAGCCTGCCGTCCTGCGCAACATTCTTGGCCCCAAACTATCGCACTTTAACTCATCTTTTATTTACACCAGAACCGAGACAAGCCGGCAAAGGCGACGCACTGGCGCCCCTCGACATCGGGGAAAATTACACCAACAAACAACATGAACGGGTCATGTCAAGAGGCAACAACAACACCAAATTACAACAATTAAAACAGGGGGAACCAAGTACATACAACCGTTTATATGTGCAAATGACAAGAGCGACAATGCAGCTCTATTTAATATACACTTATCGAATTTCAGGCGGTTTTGCTAGGATAAAATATAAAATATTGGAAAATATTATTACTTATATTTTTACTTAGCTTCTTTTATAAGACCAAAGGTGGCTCTTATTAACTTAAAATTAACTTAACACATTAACTTAAAATAATTAACGAAACTCATACTAAAATATATACTTGTAAAGATACCGAGGTACTTCTTGAATATATTCAGATCTATTCTGGTCGCTTTTAATAGATTTCACATGGGCTTTAATACATTCCTTAACTACAATTTATTGTTTGGCGCAGTAAAAGAACATGCTTTATTGCACACAAACTAATTGCATTATAGAATTGACAACTTTCTGAAAATTTGTGTCTTAATTGGCTAGCTTGAAAAGCGAAATCCATCATTTATGTGTGATCTGAACCAAAAATCTAAAACAATTGTTTTCGTGTATAACTTCCTATGCGGCATTTTGCTCTCCCCTTTTCCAACTATATTGTGTATGCGCTTTTAATTATTGCCATGAGATGGCATTGTCGCTTCACTTTTATTATCCTCCTGTTATTTGCAATGTTTTCCTCCGAGCAACAACCCTCATGCGAGGACACGCCCCGCCTTAACTTGGCTTCAACGCCCACATTAACAGCTACATTGAGCTCTGGCAAGTGACAGCTTTTAATTAAATAATTGACTATGCAGCGACTATCTCTGTGTGTTCATTTGTTGGGGCCTCAGACAGCTTTCATCTGTCAGATCAGTGAGACAAAAAGGCAGGCCAACAACTTGTGGATGGAGTCCTCCGGATAGACATGTTTATGATGCTGGCTAAAACGTCGGACGGACGAGAGTTCATTGAAACTTTTCGACTTTTGTGGCTCATCAGGAGAAAGCCGAACAGAGAAACATATAAGTAGATATACGATAAACGGGGAAAAAACTATAATAAACAGCATTAGTTATGCGGGTCGCTAGACTTTGCTGCCAAAAACCAATAATAAATGTGGGCGGTCTAGATAAATGGCAAGGACCCTCGCTTTCGCTCACAGCACTGTCCAATGCGTATAAATTTAAAATATATTCCATAGAAGGAGTTCTCTGAACTCGAAATGTTACTGTTGCCAGAGGTTATCCACCCCCTCTGACCGCAAAGATAAGACGGATTTCGCGATTTATGGTGCCACAAGCGAAAATTGCAACGCAAAATGTTCTCCACCCGGTCATAATATCTTTCTGTTCGTTGCTCAGAGCATTGGCATTGATTTCAGGCGAACATCTTTCGTTAATTGAGTCGTAAAGGCGGTGTTATTGATACCTCATTAGGCAGGCTGATAAACGCGGCGTATGCGCAATGCTGCCACTCCTTAAAGAGCTGACGGTTCTTAAAGCCGAGAACGGAGGCCTAAAGTGTTCCCGCCAGATTATGTAAGTCCTGTCAGCTGCTCCTGACATTTGCCCCTCGATTTTGCACCATTCAATCGAGTGGACAAGCCGACAGCAGCAACAGCAATAACCTCAACCACAAAAGGACAAAAGGTCAGGCAATTGGGTTTTGCGCCCAATGCGGGCGTTCTCAAACAACAACAAAAGGAATTTTATATATGCACATAAAGGCTTAATTAAAATTTTATGTTTATCATTTGGAATTCATCTGTTTACCTTGCAGGGGTTAGGGTTTAATAAGGGAAAACAACCTCAAAACAATTTTGTTTTGTTTGCTGATTAAAGTGTGTAGAGTACAGCATTTGTTCTTCTCACAGATCTGATATTGTATCAAACGTGAGATAATTAATTATACCAAGTATCTGCTTAATGTTAAACATTTATGTTAACCACACAAAGCTCTTATGATGAAAGTTATTTGTCTGCACAAGTATACATTATGCAAATTGAATTCTTACTACAGACAGACGAAATGATACGAATAGAAATAATTTATAAGTTTAATTTCTCCCCGTCAACTTGACTTGGCTTTTATAGTTTTGAAAGCCCCCAGTGGCCCCATTTCTCCACGTTTTAATTAGGTGGCTAATGATGATAGAAGCCCCTTTTCGCATTCAGCAAATAATCCTTCTTCAGCAGCACACCAACCTGCAACAATCCCAAAAGGAGGCACGTATTTCAGCTGTCTTTTTAGCCAAGTCTAGTAGAGCAAAACGCTTAGGCCACGTGCCAACAGTAGAAAGACTTTCCACCTCCGTTCCCCCGAGGCTCATGTCGCTATTCAGCTTTATTCGCTGAACGTGACAGTCCAACGACTTGAAAAGTATAGATATCTTTAAAATCTGTGCAAATATATTTTGATATAAATACATTTTTGGGTAGGCCACACATGAAGCTCCATAAAAATTTAATAAAACCTGATACGTCAACTTCCGTGCTGTGTAAAAACAAATTGTTTTGCGAAACATCAGCAATAATAATAATGGAGAACACGGAGAAGAGAGAACGGACAGCCATATGGCATTGATGGATTTTTGATAAATGGACGGGCATTATGACAAATATGCAAAAAACCAATGACAAACTGACCAACCGAGGAGCCATGCAAAAGGCGATAAAAATCCGAATCAAATAACGCCAAACAATGTCAGTCAAAACAAGTGGAGAGACGGGGCTATTGAGGGGACAGGCGGCAAACAAGCGAACCAAATAATTGACAGCAGCAGGAAAAAAGTGCAATTAGAGTCAGGGCTGTGTACACTAAAAAAAGGAAAATACTACCATTCAAACTTCCACTTTTTGGACAGAAAAACTCATAAAATACACAGCAAGACAGCTGGAAGTGAAAAAGTGTCATCAGAAATATTCATTACTGTTTGATAAGAATTTTAAAACAAACTGAATAAATAGGTAGAGCAACAGTCAATCAAACCTGCATAAAAAATATTTTAAAACCACCTTTTTTTGATCAAGTAAACCCACATTTCATATTCTTGCTGTGCTTCCACTTTAATTGCATTATTTTGTTTGACCGTTGAATGCACCACACTGCGTATGAGCAATTTCAATGAATAGGAATTGTTTTGCCTGATTTCACCATTCAATTTTCGTTTGTGCCACTGATTCAAATTTAATTTTACCCCAGAAAGACATCATAAAATTCCATAACGAAAGGACAATGTGATTTAAAGTGAATTTTAATAGTGATGAATGAATATAAAATTTTAATCCAACACAAATACAACTGGCGTACGTCGACAAGGCAAATTGTTTCCCACGGTTTCGTAAAATGCATTTCGAGTCGTAGTAATAACTCCACCGATTTACCCACAGAGCGTGCCGATCTGAATCGTTGAAAATGGGCGATACCTTGGACGAGACGCTGCCCACGCGACGCGACAAGCCGCAAACATTGAACATTGGCCAGGAGGAGGAGGATTGTGTGGGTATGGGTACCGCTCCCGCCCCGGCACCCGCCACCTCCCCGGCGTCCTCCATGGCCATTCCCGCTCCCCGCACACCGCGCAACCGGTTGCGTCACGCGGATCGGGATCAGAAACGCGATCACTCGAGCGACGGTCTTGTTTCGAGTGGAGAACGGCGGGACGAATTTATGGGTCTCGAGGCCCAGCCGCGTCGCGAAAGCCTGAATAGTTGCGAGGCCGGCAGTCCGGTGGCCTTGTCCTCCAGTCCCGGCAAGACGGGCCAGCGGCTCAACAGCTCCAGGTACCCGTCCAGCGGCTCCGGCGGCGGCATCGGCGTCAGCGTCCTGGGCAACCTCATGGGCACCACCACCCGCAAGTGTGTCCTGACGCTGGACGGGTACTCCTATGTCATAGGTAAGTGGCTGCCACTCCGGCTTAGGGCAATTTGAGACTCCAGAACTCGTACTCATACATGGGTACTCGTACAATGAAAGGTCAAACAAGGAAAGCCTTGGCGAGGGAAGGAAAAGAGAACACGCTTGGTGACATGGTTCAAAACAAACAAGGATACGATACCTAAGAAAATATTTTACACTGAATCAACCTACTCTAGGAAATATGGGATACCTTAAATATACTTTATTTTATTTAATGCCTTAGTATTTTAAAAAACATGTAATGAACACAATTTTTAAGCTAAATGCAACAACTTACTTTGGAGACCATTCGCAAGGGGTTCTTTAATACCAAGATTACGTAAATTCTTACAAAAAATTTTTAAAAACTTGAAAGATGGATTGGAGAAAAATAAACAAGGATACTTTACAAAATGTTATACAATGCATAAAACTAAAACGCTAAGAAAATTTAAGATATAGAAAAAAAATAAGAATTTAATATTAATTGTCAAACATGTAAAAGTTCAAGGTTTCGGTTCAAGACAAAGAACACAAGAGATTATTTTTAAGGCGTTTCAGAATGTATTATTATCTAAATGTTTCACATTAAAATCTTTAAAAATGTGAAGTGAAATATTTGTAAAAAATATTTTATTATTAAATTATTAATATTTAAAATCTTAAGAATAATAATCATTTTATACACGTTACTTTACTGTTGAGCCACAACCAATGTGCAGGGAGAGTCACCTTGATGGTGGCCTTTGTCCCCGGCTTTGGCCTGGTCTCTCCTGAACTCCTTGAACAATAAGGAGAACAAAAGACTGAGGGTCTCGAGCTCCAGTTTTAATTTCGTGCAACTCATTTTTCTCCTTTAAGCTCATAAAATAATACGGGTATCTGCGAGTGTGTTACTTATTTTTCTATCATTTCATTGCAGGTAAGTCAATTCAAATGGCAACAAAAAAAGCTCCACAGAAAGTAGCAGATTGAGGGTAATTCTCTGCAGAGCAGGTTCGTTCTTCGTGGCTCGTTGCAGCATTAAATTGAAAATGAAATTGAATTTCCAACGAGTTGGGCTATTATAAAAGTTATCTCCCCTGCTCTCTATGGCACCCATCCGGGTAGCAACAATTCATTTAGGATTCCTGTTGGCCAGACCCGGGTTGAGGTAAAAATTTATGAGAAACTTTTTATGCCCTCTGCATATGCCACGCAGATTTCCTGGCCCACCCCCGCTTAGATTCCCAGTTGCAGGTTGCGTACATACGGATGGAAAATTTAAAAGTCTATTGCCAGGTAAACAAGGTTCGGGCCTCGATTCTTGTTTTGAGTGGCAGCCGTTCTGGCCAAGTTTGATAACCTCCTTCTGTTGGCCATATGTACGATGTTTTTCGTTTTTCCGTTTCCTCCCCTTTTGGCTTGGTTTACATGGCTGGCCGGTCAGTTGTGTTTTGGCTAATAAACTGCCCGGGACCACAAAGTAAGCTCAAGAGGGTCAGGCTTTGTTTCTGGGCCTGCCCGTGTGTCCATTCGAGATTAAAATTCATGGATTGTATTTCGGAGGAAACGAGTTTGCCCCCTAACGTTAGAGTGCATCAGATATTCCGCAAAATACGCATGCAATTTCGAATTTTCCTTCCAACAGCTGGTTAAAATGCAAAAGTAATTTGCTTGCATGTCGAAAACATTGGATTGATGTCAGTTTTTATTTTAGATTGGTTATTATTTTAGTTACCAAGCTTGCAAAGAGGATTAAGTGCAAGATGAAAAAGTCTCTTCTGTTCTTAATTTCGTATAAAATACATTGCATTTAAAATTAAACAGTATTATATTATATTGCCAGGCTTTAAAGGATTTAAAAATATTTATCCATTTAAAGGTACAATTCTAAATAAATAAGTATTTATTGTTTAATTTATTTAAATCCCTATAAATTCCGTTGAAATCCTTTTGTATCTTAAACCTTTTTTGCCTTTAAGCCATAGAATTTTCGTTCTCACCAAAATAGTCGGCAGACAAAAATTAAACATTGGCTATTGCCAATTCTTTGGGCCCAAGGTCAGGACCGTGCCGCACAGCCCCTTTGAGCCTTTGAATGTCCTGGCATGTCCTGGGGTGGCTCGTTTGCCCGGTCACGTAGCGGCCACAAATCGTGCGGCGATTTTGAGACAAAGCCGGGCCACGTCGAGCTTCAACCCCAGCCCCGAAAGCCACGCCCCCCCACTCCGATTCCGGAGCCCCTTCTTTTTTGTGCCTTTTTAGCCAAGTCGCTTGGCGGCCGCCTGTCCTTTTGGGTTTCAATTTATGGGCGCTGCAATATTTTGCAAATATCCGTAGCATATCCTGCGGCGACAGCGCAGACAGCATTGCAATAAATAGTCAAGAGTTTGCCGGAGTGTGTGTGTGGCGGATTGGGTGAGTGTTTGGCTCGAAGTGTCCTTCAATTGACATATTACACTTGTTGTTGGCCCGGTCGTGGCTGTTTTGTCTTTCGCCCTTTTACTGGTTATGGCCCTCGATTTGTTTGTTTCGTCTCTGGAAGGGGCGTGTCTGACAAGAAGGAGATGGATGGTCCTGGGGACGGGACTCGTACTGTTCTTGTCCGCTTGAAGGATCCGCTTGGCTGATCAACCGTTCGGCCGACAAGTTGGACCCATTGGCAGGACTCTAATTGATGTGCCGGCAGACAGCAGATGGTCCCACTCCTAACACTCGTATTTATAATTTTTCTCTGCCCAAAACCCTTGCCCTGGTGAAGAAAAGGGTTAAGTGGTTCATTCAGTTTGTGGTTCAACGGGTTTTCGTTTGGAAATTGGCTAATTTTTGGAAAATGCGCTTAAAGTAATTAAATTTAGCAAGAACAAAGGAGGCGAAAAAGGCCGTCATCTATGAAGATCGATTAAGCAACCTTGTGTTTTGAGAGCCCTTCGAGTTATTAGGAAAACATTAAATCCTTAAGTTCGTTTCAGTTTAATTTTGAATTAATTTATCTTAACAAAAAAGGAAAACCATTTTAATTTAATTATTAAAAATAAATTAAAGCATAGCATAGCATAAAGCATCATTTTAAAAGGTCACTCAAAGCATTTTAGGTATTAATTTTTTTAAACTTTTCCCAATTTAAACTTTAAGGACTTCAAGCTTACCGATCCGATAGGCCAGAGAGGGTAAAAAGAAAACTTTTATTAGGCAATCACTCTTTATAATTTAACCCAAATTACCGCTTAGCTCAAGGAAGTTCTCACCACTTCAGGGAAGGATCCCAGGACCAAACTTTACCAGAATCCGCGGCATTCTCTCAGGCGTGGCAATGGAGGAGCGCATTGCTGGAATGCCTTGACCTGCCGGAGCTTCGTACTCCAGCCTTTCTGGCCAAAAGCGACAAGGAAATTTAATCAAATTTGCATAAATTCCGCTCGAACAGAAAACGCTCAAAAATTCTCCGAATGCTAAGGAATGCGACAAAGGCACAGACAGACCAAAAAACATATAGGAACATAAAGTTTTATTGTCATGTGGGGGTGGGCTTCATTGAATATTTTCCTTTGCCCTTGCCAAAGCATACTTTAAAGGATAATATATGCATTTCTTCTGTGTCCCTTTTGGACTCCCTGTGTTTTCTTTTATGGCAATGGCCGCTCAATTGGCAATCAATTTGCCTTAGTCTCTGCGGGCCAACTTTTTCTTTCAAGTGTCAGCGACAGCCATAACAATAAAGGAAAAAAGGCTTAAAATCAATTTTCGTTAAACCCTTCGGAAAAACAGCCAACACACGGACAAAGGCAGGCATAAAAATGATTACCAATGGCCCGAACTCTGGAAATTTTTTAATTAAAAACAGTTAAAAGCGGCGCCAACGACTGTCTGCGAAATGTATGTAGCCGACAGTACCGAGAACAAGAAAAATCAAATAAAACAAGGCAAGTGCAAAATGGCTGCTGCTGCCAGGAACAGAAGCACACGCGCCAAAAAGGCTGGCGAAAATCTGGCGGAAAGGATGCCCGCAAGGATGCCACTTCTGGTATCAAGGTGCACAGCCTCCTGTCAGAGCTTTTCCAACATGTTTGTTACAATTTGGCTAACTAGCACAAAGGCTTAAACACACACAGACACACGTTCGCCAGCCAGTGTGTTTGCCCTCCTTGTTTGCCCCCTGCTCAAATGTCAGAGAACAAAAGCCAGACAGCGCGACGTCGTTGTCCTGGCCATTCGACAAGGTGTTCTTGCCATAATTTGCAACTCAATTTCGCTCGGATTTTTGGGGCACTTTCCAGTTAGACGCTTTGAAGTTTGTTTAGCCCAAATGTTCCACTAAGTAAACTTAAATGTAATTTAAACTTTTTAAGCACTCCTCAGCATGCTGCAAATTACACTCGCTAGATAACTTTTCGAAGGTTTTAGCTTGCTTCCTTTGATTGAAGTTTTAGGCGGGATAAATAACTTTTAGATTTTATTTAAGTAATTCAAGATGATCTGATATGAGCTCTCAGGAAGCCTTGAATGTAGTTGCAAAACATATCCAAACACCATGAATCTCAGAACACACTTCCTGGCTAATCTGAGCTCTAGTTCGCCAGTCAATCGCTCACTCATAGAGGTCCTTGTTGTCCTTGACAGCTTTTCGCTCTGGTTAAGTCGCAGGCACTTTGCTGTAATTTCATTGGCATATCCGGTTGCTGGCTGCGTTGTTTCTGTTGCCAAGGCTTCTGTCATTGGCCCAACTAGTCGGCTCCGGCTCCGGAGGATGTCTCCTGTTCGGAGGCATCAATGCGTTAAATTCGCACAGACGGCTGCCAACTGCGGCGGTCCTTGCAAATCGCGAAACTATTCGAAAGCGGCAACAAATTGAATAAGAACGATTGTTGACACTTTTCCATTCACTGCGGAACTCACCCACTTGAAATTTTCCCAGGCAAGGATAATTTATCAAGCTTGCCAGCGTTCAAGTGCAGCCGAAGACAGAAAAACCCTTCCTTTTTCCGGACCGGGTACGGATTTGTAAAGTGATCTAGAGGGATGCAGTTTCCGTCGCAGGATAACACTTACATTTATTTGCCTTTTGCCGTCGCAGAGTGTCAAACGCTTAGCGTCGAGATAAGTGGTATCGCATATTTATAGGTCATATTTAACAGGGCATTAGGATGAACAAGGCAAGATAAACGACATTCTCATTCATTATTTAAGCAATGTAGCCTAATGTATTTTAAATTTAAATCAGTTATTTGCAAATTAGATTAAGAAAAACTTGGTTATCTTTTTACTATACTTTTTAGTGCCTAAAAGTGTACTTTACAGGGGACAATATATAAACAATAAATATATTTATTTATTGACTTTCTTTCGGTACATAAGATTGAACCTGTATATATTCTTTATAAATATTTATAATACAAGCTTAATCGGAAGCGTTGCAATCACTTGGAAATCGATTCTCCATTGTAGCCCCTTCTTAAAAGTAAATCCATCCATCATCCCCGCCCCCAAACTTTTCTCACCACTTGACAGATCCACTGGTAGAGGAAATTAAATTTGCAAATCCCATCGGCCACATTCAGGAGTCGTTAGTCCTGGCCAACTGTTAATGACATTTAAGCTGATGTTCGTTTTATTAATTAATTAATCAATCAATCAATCAGCAAGCCCACACATACAAACAGCAAGAGCCCGGGGAATAGCGAAAATCAATCAAAACCGGTGCTGATTCAAATTCACTTTGGTCCATTTGTGACGCCACAAGTTGTAGACCAGCAGTGCGACCAAAACCACATTGGCCGACTTGATGAGCTGCTTAACCAAGTGGCGACGTTGTTCGCTAAAAGCAGGAACAATGATTACGATGACTGGTCAAAAGAGTTGGCTAAAACAGCCACTGCTGGCAGGAACTCACCTCATTACCGTTGAGCTGCGCTCGCTTAAAACAATTCCGCCTCCAGGGGGCAGATGAAGTCCAAAGGCCTTGGCCAGAATGCTGTCGCTGAATTATTCAAATAGTTTATATTTAATACTTCTACCGATTCCGGTGCAGGCAGGGGAAAAGGAGGACGAGATGAAACGCAGCGGGGCATATAGACAGCAGATATATACTCTTAATCCGATGAGAGCCTCTGCTCAACGTGGCGCATTGGCAATGAAATGTTTAAACTTTCGTAAATCGGTTAAGCCTCGAGCCATTTTTAATTTGCTTGTGCCGAACTGAAAGTAGACTTGTCGTTAAAATCTTTTAATTTTCCACTGAGTGCTGAAAAATGTCAGCTTAAGCGGCATTCAACTTTTAAGCTATAAAGAATTTCAGATTTTATGAAATTTAAAACTTAAATCCTTTTGCCTTTTGATTTCTACTTTGAAGTGATATGCAAATACCTAATTGGTTATATTACTTTTTTTTTTATAAAAAAATGTATTTTCTGAGGTTACTCAAATACTTATAGATTCATAGGAGTTGGTCAAGTAAAAACTTGTTTCAAATTACATACAACTTTTATGAATTTTCACAAAGTATGCAGTGACTTGACTTTTCCGACAATTACAAACTATTAACTTCTTATCCAAACAACTGCCATTTGTTGAAACATTTTTGTGTAAGCATCGAGCAATCAAAAGTTTCCAACAAGTTTGCCATATTTGCAATTCACAAACATTTAATTCCGTTATTAAAGGGCATTTAAAACTTTTGCATGTCCCATTATATTATATTATACTCCCGGCTTGGCGGCATTTCCGAAAGGGTAGGACGAATCTGCACCAGTTCCATAAATCTTGTTGGGTTCGTGGGTGTGTTCTCCTCCCATACATGAAAAATTACAGTGGCCAAGCGAGAATGAAATACAAACATCAGCAATGACCAAGTCCTGGGCAAGTTGCCAGGAGCAGGCGGCGACGTGGCCACTTTTTTCCGGACAGGATCCGACCCGGCCCGTGACCCACTACCCCCCACACCGCCCTTGCCTTCATTAGCACCGGACAGCGTTAAATTCAATCTATCCGAGTCGAACGAAAATCACACACACACCAGCCAGCTCTATGGTCATTAATTTTCCCCCATCTTGTATTCAATCGCGTGACATTCTGAACTGGAAATGCAATTAAAGAGCAAAGTTTGCCGCCATCAGCTGGTAATTCCTCTAATCCCGTTTCCGGCTAGACGAGCCGACAGACGAGTCCCTCACGGGCGGCCAGGGACAATGCACTTGCGGCGAGGGATTGACTGCAGCGGGAATACAGAGAGAAAATGATATAGGGGTCAATGAGATTTAGGAAATATCTATGGACATTTCCCATTGATCAAAAAGAAAATCTTATGAAAATTATAAGAGCTGTGTCTGATTTTATGTTGATTTCTAATTAATATTTGGTTTTTGTTAGGGTCTGATTTTGTTTTATCCGTTTCATTAGAACAAACCAACAAGTTTATTTGTTAATATTTTCAACACTCATCTTCTCTTTTAAAATTTACTTGGGGAATCAAGAACTCATTATTTAATCCAAAAATAATGGTTTAAATGTATCAAATCAGAGCTATATCCCTTCATAAAAAACAAGATATTTTTCGATCAATGGTTGAGTGACACTAGATTAGATTTCGGTTTTTTTCCGTGTAATTGTAAAGCGGGAAATGAATGACCGGGAATTGAACAGACGAGCTTACCCAGGTTGATAATTGGAATCCACTCCGGAAACTTCAACGACCAGTTTCTTGGGCCGGTTGAGGAACTCTGTGAGATTCACCAACTGTTCCTTGTCGCTCACATTAATGATGGTAATTATCGACTCAAAATTGGGGTAGGACCTGCAATAAAAAGTTTTAAACTAATGAATGTGTTTATAGAACATATTTTGGTGACCCACCGCTTGAAGGCAAAGACCCAACGCGAAATGGGTTCGATGTTGAAGCGACCCAAGCGCATAATAGCCGATCTTCGCAGTTCAAGTAGGTCCTTGTACACCTGGTAGTGGCTTTTGTTGGCTGCCTTCTGGGCCTCCAAGTTCAGTTCGAGATAGTTGGGGTGAACGGGCAGCCAAGTTTTTGGGGCACTAGAAAAGCCTATGAGAATCAAAAGATATTAATCAGTAGAAAATAATAAATAATTCTAAATTATAACTATATCCATAAGTGGGTATGACAAAGATCTTTCTGTCCAAAAATACAGAATAACTTTACACTTATCTAAGGATATAACTCTAAAGGTAATTTGTTTCCCTAAATAGCGCTTTCCTTTCATATCTTGAAAAACACATTGCATCCATTATTGTAATGTCTATAGAAATTAAATATCATTTACTTATCTTTTTAGTAAAACATTTTAGTTTCGTTCATATCAGATCATATTTTTTGGTCGCGCTTGCACAATATGTTTATTTTTTAATGCGTTGCACTTTTTAGTTGTAAGGAAAGAGGAATAAAAAATCGAACTATATAAATACAGTCATCTCAAAATTCGGAATTAAAAACGTATTATTTGGCATTAAATTAAATTATTCAAATTTCGTGACATACAAACCTTCTTTTGACTTGAATAGCTTAACATGTCATATAACTGGGAATTATTAATTAACTTACGCTCTACCAAGTATATTTAAATTTCATAACGTTAGTGGAAACTTACCCGCATTGGTCTCGTTGCTCCACTGGAAGGGTGTGCGCACTGGGTCCCGGGAGACCTCCTGGTAGAGTCCCTCTCCCACATTCCTGGCCGGCGGGTCCACCGTGTCCTCCCAGCTTATTTCGCGGTAGTCCTCCATGCCCAGCTCCTCGCCCTAAAAGCAAAGGGATATGACCAAAGGGCCACAACTCAGAGCCAGAAACTCACGTTGTAAGTGACGGCGACGCCGGGGAGGGTGAGCAGCAGCATGTTCATGGCGTCCACGCTGGCGGGACCGAATCGGGAGGCTACCCGGGGGTTGTCGTGGTTGCCCATGACCCAGTTGGCCGCATGCCCGCGTGGCATGTAGATCAGCCACTTCTCCACGTTGTAGACAAAGTCACGCGCATCCGAGCCGCCTTTGACATCCGTGATAAAGTGGAAGTTGAAGGGCAGATGGGAGCCCCTAACCCCGTTGGAGTCCTCGTAGTAGTCCGCCAGTTGGGTGAGTCCGGCATACGCCTCCGTCATCATGATGCGCGTGGGTCGTTCGGGGTGCTTGGAACTGAAGTCATCCAGCAGCTGCCTCCAATGCTGAACCATTTCCAAAACCTCTGGCAGATCCTTCGAGTAAATGTGCTTGGTGTAGTCATAGGAGAGTGGGTCGGTGGTCTTGCCACTCAAGGGCTCATCCTTAAGAGCTTCGTCCTCAAACAGATGATTCACTGCATCAATGCGAAAGCCCGCGACGCCCTTATTGAGCCAGAAAAGTATCACATCATCCATGGCCTGAACCACTTTAGGATTACGGAAATTCAAGTCCGGCTGTTCCTTGGTGAACTGATGTAGGTAGTACTGCTGGCGGCCTTCGTGCCACTCCCAGGCGGATCCGTAGAAGACCGACGGCCAGTTGTTGGGGGGAACTCGAGTACCGTTCTCCAGGAGGATGCCATCATCCCACACGTAGTAATCCTCGTAGCCCGGCTCCCTGGCAGCAGACTTCTTGAACCATTCATGCTGATCCGAGCTGTGATTGGGGACAAAGTCCAGTATAACCCTGATGCCATGTTCGTAGGCCTTGTCGATGAGCTCCTCGAAATCCTCCATGGTTCCATACTCCGGCTGGATCTGCTTATAGTCCGATATGTCGTAGCCAAAGTCCACCATGGGTGACTGGAATATGGGACTCAACCAAGTGGCCGTAATGCCAGTGTCTGCCAAATAGGGCAACTTTGAGGTGATCCCCCGCAGGTCGCCGATGCCATCGCCATTGCTATCCTTGAAGGACCTCGGGTAGATCTGGTAGAATACCGTGTGCTGCCACCAGTCGATAAAGTCCTCCGAATCGCTCTTCACCAGACCGGCCATTATGGAGCCGGAGTACAGCAGACTAAAAAGAAGGATTTGGATGAGTGGAGCGGGCATTTCGGCCAAGTTTTCGGCTCGTTGTGTTCGAGAATGGGCAGTTTGACAGCCACTTTTAAAGCGTTTCTGCCGTACAATTAAAATAATTTTTGCATTAGTCTATTGTCTAATTATCAGCGGTCGCATTAAGGGTATAATTCAGGGGAAGATTCTTATCAGCTCAAATCAAAACAAATTGCGGCGCGAATTAAATGAGTAAACAAAATTGTTTTCCCCAATTTTACGGCACACTGCACTTGACAAGCCAATTTGTATTAAAGAGGGTGATGGGTGGAAAAACTTGGGGCTTATTATAGAAATCGTCGACGACCGATCAGGGCGAAAATCACTTTGCTCACCTCAAAGAAATCAGAGTAAACTGAACACAATTTTATTTTTCACTTTTCGAAGTGCTTTTAGCAGCTGCCGGCGATCGACTGAAAGCTTTTGGGAAGTGATTGCCAACAGCTGACCGAAAGCTTTAGGTACGCAATCAGTTGAGGCAGATCATGACGCATAAACAGTATGATCTATAATGTTTTTTTATGCCCTTGCAGAGGGTATTATACATTTGCTCAAAAGTTTGTATCCCAGTCACGAAAAAGTTTGCGGCCTTATAAAGTAGATGCAAGATACCGTTTCCGTCGAGCTCAGTTTAAAAGGTAACGATCTAAAACTTTCGCTATCGTTATGAAATATGTACACTTAGATCATGTTTAAAAACCGTCCCAATCGGTCAACAATATTTATAGCTGCCATAGGAACGATCTGCTTTAGATCCGATACTTTCGGTGTTTTTGATGGAATTTTGCGCAGTTTTTGCGAGCTTTTGACATGAAACTTCGCAAATTGTATTTTTTTATGCATACCTTGATCAGGGTACAAGCGCGTACCAATCGGACAACTATATCTTATAGATCCCTTTGGATAGATTGGTTAAAAATGCCGATTTTGTAGTATTTGAAAAGGTTTGGGCAGCTAAAAAGCTAGCAACCCTGATCAGGGAAAAAAGTCTTGCCTATAAAGCGACTATATCCTATAACTTCCATATAAACCATAGGGTGAAATGGGTATGTTAATGTTAAGTTTTATGTTTTTCAAGATTTTTGCCTATATTATGTTAAATGTTTTAAATCATTAAATCTGAAAGGGGAAGCTAGCTTCCTTCCACACTAAAATTTACTGCAGTGGAATTCTTAAAATATATTCTCTCCCCGTAATATACAACATTTAATTTCCATTAATATACTAAAACGGACTACAAACTTTCATATATCTGATTTTATAAGTAAGAACATCAATTTTTTATTTCGTATACAAGTAATAATTAAAGATTGTAATATAAATGAGATGTATTTTTTATTATTTGCCTTAAAGTCAGGCTTACAATTTGCTTAAGGACAATAATAATTAGGCGCAGTCAGTATGAAATAGACAGCTATAATTACAAAGGCGACCTAAAACGGACTAAACATAATTTGAAGTCACGAAATCGTGTCAAATTTAATGGTTTCATAATACTTTCTGTTATAGAAGCACCTGCTAGTCACCTTGTTCATCAGGCTCATGACAACTGATAGGAAATACCATTGAAATGAAAATCAAAATAAAGTCGGACCCTTCGGCAACCGCATTTATTTATGTCAATTCGCTAAGGGAAATTTAATTAAATTCGGCAACCATTTATCAGCTGCCCTAAGCCCGAAAAAAGGTTCAAAACCTGACGACAATTATGAATTACGACTTTCAGTTCAAGTTGGGCATCGGGTAAAGTGGGAAGTAGAAGGTCCGACACCAAGTGCTCCCAATTCAATTAAAATGTTTGCGCAGCGCTAATGTAAATGGAAATGTGTTTTGCTGTCAAATGAAATGGAAACTCGAATCAGATGGCCCCTGTGAGATACATTTAAATGCGAAAATAGAAAAGCTCGGCTGCCGAATGGAAAGTTTTCTCGTACTTTAATGTTGAATACCAAGTAGTGTGTAGGTTACTTTCGCTTGTTCAGCTGAATAACTAATCCCTCGAAGGGGGCCAGCTCAATGGCATCGGCCTTGAGTCTTTCACCCACCCGGTGTTGCGAATCCACGCCCGCCACAAGGACAGCCAACCGATTGGGCTGATCTATAAAGTCCCCGATATCCACCACTTCGGTGCGGTTCTTCACGTTCACGATGGTCAGCAGGGTATACTCGCCCTTCAGTTCCCTAGAAAGTAAATAAATATAAGCTGTAATTGTAAACTACTAGATAAGTCATAAAATTGCACAACCAATAATTACTGATAATAAACAAGGGTAAATCGGAAGGGTAATCACATAAAATTACAGATGATTATAATCTTTTGGAAATTTGTAAACATTCAGTAAATCGTTTAGTAAATTTGTCTACTCACCGCTTGAAAGCGAAAACCCTTCGGTTCACTACTTCTGGTACAAAGGATCCATTCTTCAAAACTGGCAACTGTCTGAGCTTCAGAAGGGTCTGGTAGATCTTGTAGTGACTACGCCTTGCCTGCTGCTGATTGCGAAGATTGAGCTCCCTATAGTTGGGATGGACAGGCAACCAAGTTTGATTGGCTGTGGAGAATCCCGCATTGAGATCACTATTCCATTGCATGGGCGTTCGCTCTGGATCTCTAGAGACCGTCTTATAGTTATCGATTCCAGCATCGCAGGCAGGCTGATCCACAGTATCGCTCCAACTGATGTCTCTGTAATCCGTCATGCCCAACTCTTCACCCTGAAATTATGTAAAGTAAAATATATACCACAAAACACCTTAAACTTAGATGTTTCTATACATACATTATAGGTAATGGCAATGCCTGGCAGCGTCATCAGCAGCATATTCATGGCGTCCACAGATTTCTCGCCAAACCGCGAAGCCACTCGGGGGTTATCGTGGTTTCCCATCACCCAGTTGGCCACATGGCCATGTGGCATATAGATGAGCCACCTGGAGATGTAGAAGACGTAGTCCGCAGCTGTCGAATTAGCATTCAGCTCGGTGATGAAGTCAAAGTTAAAGGGAAACTCGGGACCCTGAACACCATTCGTGTCTTCGTAGTACTCCATCAGCTGGGACACTGAGGCATATCCCTCGGTCATCATTATCCTCAGAGGTCCCTCATGGCTGGCTGTGTAGTTATCCAGGAGTTCTCGCCAGTGCTGGAGGAGTCCGTAATCTTCAGGTTGGTTTCTGGTATAGATGTGTTCCAAATAAGCCTCGTTGTTCGCATCATTAGTGGTGCCACTTAGAGGCTCATCCCTCAATTGAGCATCCTCGTAAATATAGATAATGGCATCGATGCGGAAACCGGCAATTCCCTTGTTTAACCAGAAGAGCATCACATCGTCCATTGCTTGAATTACTGCCGGATTTCGGTAGTTAAGATCGGGTTGTCCGTAGGTGAACTGTCGCAGATAGAACTGTTGCCTCTCTTCGTTCCACATCCAGGCAGATCCGGAGAAGACTGACAGCCAGTTGTTGGGCGGAATTCTAGTTCCGTTCTCCAGCAGTATTCCATCCTCCCACACGTAGAAATCCTCGTATCCTGGCTCTCGGGCCACCGACTTTATGAACCAGGGATGCTTGTTCGAGCTGTGGTTGGGCACAAAGTCGAGAATGACCTTCACACCCAGTTCATTAGCCCTGGCTATCAGGTTGTCAAAGTCCTCCAGGGTACCATACTCCGGCTGAATATTCGTATAGTTTGATATATCGTATCCAAAGTCCACCATGGGCGACTCATAGATGGGACTCAGCCATACGGCAGTGATGCCTGTGTCCTTGAAGTACTGCAACCTAGAAGTTATACCTTGAAGATCGCCGATTCCATCGCCGTCACTGTCCTGAAAGGATCTCGGATAGATCTGGTAAAAGACCTCGTGCTGCCACCAATTGTATTTCGCGTCCTGCTGCTTTTCCTTTTCCTTGCGACTGTTGGCCAAAATGGCAACTAGACCCACACTCAAAATGAAAGCTATTTTTACTACGCCCATCGCGGTCAACGAACAAGCTAGTTTTCCTCTATCATCCAAATTTTGCGGGCTTTTTATACTGTTACCGGCTTTTCAATTCCGGTTTTGTTTATTTGACTTGGCGATTTTATCGCTCAAATATTGGACCAATTGTGGTGACACTTTGAAATGTGTTTAAATGGAATTAAGCACTTAAACTTTTTTGTTCGACAAGGCTTTTACATCGTCCAGTTGACCAAACATAGGGAAATTTTCTAACTTATTAAATAAGGCAATGGGAAAGTGAAACAGGCGGGACGGAAGGACGGAAGTTAGTCGATTCATAGTTATAGCAACAATAGTAGAGTATTGAGCCCACAGGTAATCAATAATAATACTCGTAATAAGACCTTGATGAAATGATTAAAACTGTGTAATGAGTATTAGATCTACTTATTGAAACAGAATTCATTTAGAAAGACATTGTTTGAACATCATTGTTATTTAGTAAACAGAAATAATGTTAAAAAACAAAACAGTCAAATTGTTTGTTTATTATAAAAATAAAAGCTGCGAACTTAAAATTAAATATATTTGAATTGTTCAAATTAAATTTAAAATATTTGCTTTTAGATAGATGTAAACTCGTCTAAGTAAGAAGAACTAACATACAGAAATTCGATAAAAGTCGGATAAAATAGACAAATATTTAAAAAACTTTTATTTTTAAACATTTAAAAGTTAATAACTAAAACATTAACTATTTATATAAATATTTTTAAATATTTAATTCTTAATTTAACAAGAAAGGGGCATTTTCATTTATGTCTTCCCACAACAAATATGGAAACAAGAGGTTTTTTCAACCATTTTCGAACCAAGTCGAAACAGTTTAGCTCACAACCACCTTTTAATTATACGGCCATTCAGCTTTCCAACCGCGAACTTCCGTTGCGTGACCAGGGCGGCAAAATGGAATTTTACCCAGTCCCCTGTAAACCCACAATGGACTGAATCTGGCAGCTTAATTAAACATTTTTAGGAAAGTCAAAACAGGAGAAACAATGGTCTGCCATTTACCTTACCCTTTACCTTTAGATGCTTCAAGAGTATACGAGTATTGGAAATTTTCGCACAAATATGTGCAGAAATCTTCACTTGGAGCCGAGCAGAGTCGGCATAATTTTTCCGCTTTTCACCACGACATGAAAAGGGTTTGACAAGGGGGCGTGGCTGTTCCCATTGAGATTCCTTTGCCGGTGAAATCAAAGTGAGGAAAATTCCTAGTAATTTTGAGGCCGCACCTCCAGGGAAAAGGGGGCGGGTAAAGTGAAAAGTTAAAGCGAAATGTTTTAGGGGAAGCACCGGCTAATCCGCCGCCTGTCTCCCCAAACTGTGCCAGCCCTCACTCACCTGTCTCACCTGTCTGTGGGTTCCTCGCAGGACAACAGGGTTTACCTTTCATGTCGCGACGCTGATTGAATTGCCTTTGCGCAGGAAAAGGGCGACTTTCAGACTCAGTCAGAAGCCTTTTGTGTTAGAGAACTCCGAGGGAGGGGCATTCTTTTTCGGAGCACTTTTCAATTTGGCTTTTGGGGCTCCACCGGCTCGAATAAATAAATACCCGGCCTACATTTTTTATTATGTAAATATTTAATCATATCAGAAAAATTCGGGTGCTGCTCGAGCTCGGCATATTAAAAATCAGCTCCCACTAATCCAGGGGCCCCAGATATTTACGAATTTAACACACGCGCCTAAACATATGCTTCAGCTTTCCCTCAGTCGCATTTTCCTCTTTTCCGATTCAACCATTTTTCATGATTCTATGTGTTCTTCCCTGACAGCCCTTAAGCACCAACAAATTGGGCGGGTTCTCTTTGCTTTCCCTTTTTGGGCTGCTATTTAATGTTGTCAATACGTTTACGCTTATCAAATACTTGTTATCGCAAATCAAACGAAATTACAACAACAGCGGCAGAAGCGCTACGGGTTCGTCGTTCTGTTGTCATTTGTAGGGATTGCCGTCGTCATAAGTAGGTTCCACATGTAAATTTCCGCATATCTACCCATGTGTATTCGGCTGTTTTTCGTTTGGGACCCATCCGACCTTTATTATCTTGCTGTTATTGTTATGACTGGGCGGGGAAATCCTCTTTTGACAGAATATTATCATATTATCTGCTTAGGGTCTGTAAGATAGGCCCACAGTCAAGTCACTGACTAATAAAATAAAATAGTTTTGGTGTAAGCTCACATTCGGTAATAATTGGTGTTAGCCCAAAAGGGTTAAGGAATATATAAAAGATAACTTATTATTAAAAAGTAAAAACTACAACAAATTAGAATAAAAGGTTAAGAAAAGTACTGAAAAAAGTAGTTATATCATAGAAACACTTTGAAATATAGAGTATATTACAACTAAGAAAAAAGGTTTGCTTACAGTAGCTCCCCAAATCTGTGATAAGACCAGTTTTTATGGCTCATCTTGTTTGTCTCATGAATGATATAAGCCCTAATTTGAGCATGTATCTTTCCCTCTCGCCGGAGATAAAACCGATTTACGGCCTTGATTCAACCCGTTTATTATTATCTTTTTAATAACATTCTGGCGAGCCGAATTCCGGCTGCAGCTGTCAGCTTCCTGTCATAAAGCAAACGGCAGTCGCTAGACCTCATCCCATAAAGCGGCGCTACCTTTATTAGACTTGCTCCTGGTCCTGTTATTACTTGGCCTATTGTATTAGCCGGCCGGAGTGGGTGGCTTGTTTGCACCCAATTTGGATGTTTGTGGCGCACATATTGAGATTCAATTAGTCAAGCCCCTGCGCAGAGTTAATAAATCACATCCCAACCATCAGCAATCCCCGAGGGAAGCGAATCGCTGCTGGCGGACGATTAATTATGCATAAATTTGATTGATGTGCGTGAGGCGACTGTTTAAGCGGTGCCAAAACCGCCTTCGAGTTACACTCCCACCCAAAGTGTCAATGGAAACGAGCTCCGCCCAAAAGCGACGGATTGATTTACTGAGGTGATGACGCACTTGCCGCAGCTTTTAATTAGCATTGAATGGCGTTATTTGCATATAATACACTTCGATGCGCCTCGTCGAAAAACAGATTTTAATCAGAAACGACAGCTTCTTTAGAACTACGGCACACAAAGCACACTTTAAATTGAAAAAACAATTAGTCAGCCAAAAAATTAACAATGACAATAATTACTTTATTTCTGTTACTACGCTTCTGTGTGGCAATTGGCAAGGAACATTAAATAATTTAAAAAGTTCTCTAAGTCTTTAGAATATAAGCGAAAAGGGGCAAAGTGCCTCAGATTACAAAATCATTAATGCTTTATTTAGTTAAACTTTATTTTGAATTCCATTTAATTTGGAAACAAGGTCCCTGTTTTCGGACATTTAGGATTCTTCCGAGTTTCTTGTACTCCCGCTGAGAGCACTCGAACTCACAGCGATTTTTGTATGTGACGCCATTAGATCCGCACACCTCCGCCTTCCGGAGATTGCAGGGGCAAAAACTAGCCTCTGTGGATCCCACAAATAGAGTAGCCAAAAGGCCAAGAAGAACTACCAAGATCAGGTACTTCATAGCGCCTTTGTGATGCTACCAAAAGTGAATTTTATAGGAAACTCGTAGTCTCATTCCACCGAACGTTCAACTAAGACTGAGTCTAGTTTAAATACACACGGTTATATTTATTTTGAGTATCTTAGCTATTATATACATAGCTGATAACAGAATTTGTTTATTATTAAATTTGTTAAGGTGAATTAAGAGAGTATAACATTATCTCACAGCACTTATGTGAAACGGAAAGCCTGAATTCGAGTTTTTGACTAATTGCAAGATCCATCTTTCTGGATGTTTAGGGTACGTCCAAGTTTCTTATAATCCCGCTGGGTGCACTCAAACTCGCAGCGGTTTTTGTAGGTTACGCCATTGGAGCCGCACACCTCCGTTCCCTTCGTCTTGAGGTCGCAGGGACAGAAGCTGCCCTCCGAGGATCCCGCAAAGAGGGTGATCAACAGGACCAAAAGGACCAACAAAGCCTGGCACTTCATACTTGCAACGTGGATCTTTCAGCTGAATTGGTTTTTTTTTGAGCGGAACTCGTCGTCGTTTCACTGCGAGTGTTCAAGTAAGACTGAGATTCGTAATCGTTGTTTATTCTGGGTATGAGTACATGTGGCTGCCTCCATTTGTGTGCGTAAGTTTTGCTAATTAGCCAAACAAGCTGCTGATTATTTTGCACTGCTCTGCCGACCTCCAGACCTCCAGGCCCCCAAGCCCCCACTTTTTCTCACTTCGGCTGCGTGTGGGTTTCGTTCGCATGTGTCTTACGGGCCTCCAGTAATTTACACGGCTGGCAGTTGAGAGCCCGGGCCGTCACTATGGCAAAAGCCAGGAGTATAAGACTCAGAAATACACCTCTCATGGCGGTGGTTACTCCACAACTGTGTGGAACTTAGTCGAATTTCCCCTGGGTGTAAGCCTCTAAACTAATTGAAATTGAATGGCAATTGAAATTGAATAGCTAGCGTTGTGTAAATTGCCTGACAAAAAGACTGGCGTTCCATTAATTACTGGGGTTCGTAAGAGGCGGAGCAAAGTGTATGTAAATTTGTTGTAGAGGGGAAATTCCCCTACTATACCTGATCGTTGATAAGAAGGCGGAGAGAGTTGAGGGCAAAGCTCTCTAACAAAGTGAGTAATTTATAGCTTTTCTGTGGGAGCTTTTTTAACAATAAACAATTGCGTGTTCGGTTCCGCGATAAACAAAGTAAGTAATTAAACTGGAAGTGCTTGAGCCCATAAATTATTCAAATAATTTGAAATGCACATACTTAGCAAGGTAAATTCCAGGAACCTAACTCGGCTAAATGGGCACATATTTGTAATGCAACCCAGTCATCATGTCAGTCATGTTCTAAAAAAGTACTCACAACTCCAAAGCCACCCAAGAACTGATAAGATAAGGGACCCAATCGAAGCCAACCAAAGCTCCAGTGAGTAAAATAGAAGTCGAGCAGTATCGAATCAGTATAGCAAGTGGATTAAACCCGCAACCATGAAATTCCTGAGCATTCTACTGGCCCTGTGCCTTTTCTTGGCCCTCGCCATATCGCCAATTCGCAGCGAAGACGTTGAAAAAGAAGGAAGAGCATTCTGTCCCTGCCCCAGGAACTTTGACCCCGTTTGTGGCACCAACCGGCAGACCTACCCAAACCGATGTGAATTCGATTGTGCCCGACGCAGTTTTGAACGCCAGGGACGCAGCATGTCAGTATTGAGAACCGGCACCTGTTGATCTGTGGATTCCCTTAACATTGCCGTAAAACAAACCAAAGAAACATCCAGAAAATATAAAATCAAATAAAATAAGTGCCTTGTATTAATCATCAACGTGAAAAATATAGAAATAAACCAGCTTATCAGCCAGAGCATTTGGCACTGCAATCGATAGCGTTTCAAATCCTTATCGCAGATACGTATCATATATAACTATACACTGGGAAAAACTCATACCACTTCTCGAGGGCTGCAGAGATTTGCGAATTTATTAGTTCCGATCCTCAAGTGCTTGGCTGTCAAAGATAACCCTGCACGAAATGAACATTAACCTTTAATGAGTCATGTTTATTTATCTTATCTTGTATATTGTGTGCAAATCTATATATATTTGTTTTTAAAATCTGTTGAATAAAGGCAAACAAATTGTAAAGCTGCGAAAATATTTGTTTTTCATTTTGAGAAAATAATTTTTAAATTGACGTCAGTGGTAACGGTAAGACAACTAAGATCACTTCCAAAATGTTTAAATAGTCTTGAGATATTTAACTACCAATATTTATACCTTTAATAAAGGAAACAACTTTAATCAACAACAAGAAAGGAAGTCAACTTCGACAAGCCGAAGTTTGTATACCCTTGCAGTTATAAGAAATAATCAATGTTAGTAACATGGTTATTTCTGTAATCTAATATAGGAAAAACGGCCTAACTTAAAAATAAATATTTCATTATTTCTTTGACCGTTTCTTTGACAGCTATATGTTAGAGTCGTCCGATCTTTATTAAATTTAATTCAAAATTCTTAAAAATACAAAAAATGATATTCCCAATTGTATAAGATAATATGTCAAAAAACACCGAAGATATAATTTGTTTCATATTATTTTCACACCAATTTTCAGATCGTTCCTATGGCAGCTGTATGTTATAGTCGTCCGATTTTGATAAAATTAAATTAAAAATTCAGAATTAATTAAAAAAGGTTATTTCCAAGCGTAGGAGGTTATATGTTAAGAAACACCAAAGATATACTTTTTTTCCGATTATTGTTATGGGAGCTATAAGATTCAGTTGTCCGATCCGGCTGGTTCCGGCTTATATACTACCTGCAAAATAAAGAAAACTTTTGGGAAAGTTTCAGCTCGATAGCTTTAGAACAGAGAGACTAGTTTGCGTAGAAACGGACGGACAGAAGGACAAACGGACAGACGGACATGGCTAGATAGACTCGTCTAGTGATGCTGATCAAGAATATATATACTTTATGGGTTCGGAAATGTCTTCTTCACTGCGTTGCAAACTTCTGACTGAAATCATAATACCCTCTGCAAGGGTACACACATTTTTATTTGAAGTCATAGCATGTTTTTGGCCATCTTAAAAATTGTAGGTGGTATTTCGCTTAGTCGCCAAACATATAATAAGCTGACGAAAACCCTCATACTTTAAGATAAGTTGAAAACATTGTCATTTTTATGTTCTTGTGCTATATAAACTTTTTCATATTTACTGCCAATGACAACACCTGACAAACCCACTTTCTTTTCGCAACCCTGGCATAGCAATGTTTTATTATTGTTGCTTTACTGGTTGGGTAAAGTTATGCCAACATACATATGTCTAACTAGAATCCAAGTCAATGAGAAAAGTCGTTAAACAATTGGGTCAATAACAGAAACCACAAAAGTATACACATAGAAATTGAGTTCACTGTGGAGAGATATTTGCTTTTCATCTAAATTATTCTAATTCCGGCTTTGTTGCACCACTTGAATAAATATGAATAATTGTACGATTTAAATAGATTGAATATGTATTAACAGCAACATGTGTATTTAAAGTTGTAAACGTACTGCAAAATTTTAAAATAAGTTTAAAATAAATCAGTTCCCTAACAGATATTATTATTCATTAGCACAACAAATAATCCGAGCCCGTGATATTACTGTCATACTTAAAATTACAACACTTGAACTTGTCGAAACACATTTTAACATTTTTCATGAGCAGTAACAGAAACTTTTATTGCAAGGACAATTGCTCTGTTTATAATTAATGTGTGAATGTGTGTTCTAATTATACTTTTTGAAAATGTTGACCTAAACTATTATGACTTTACACAAAGGTATAAGTTAGAATTTAAATAAGTAATGCCAGGAGCATACATATATACAATTTATTTTAACAATTAACACGAATCTATTTTTCACTTTTCATCATCTATACATCGGTTATAACCAGTTGAGTTTCCATATTCTGGTGGTTAGCACTTTCCGGCCTTAACCACAGTAATGGAGCGTCCTTGGTTTTTCGCAGCGCAATTCAAGTCGCACTGGTTGCTGTAGGTTACGGAGTCCGATCCGCAGACAGGATCATAGTTGCGAGGACATGGGCAAAAGCCTTTGGCTTCCTGGCCCGCAGCCAGGGCCAAAAGAGCGAACAGGCAGAGTGCGATCAGAGCTAGGCAACGCATGGCTATATTGTTAGACTGGTTAAGCAAGACTGGAGCTTTCACACCCAATCGGAACTTATTTATAGTTATGCCAGAACCAGCCCCCTTCGCAAGCCGCAGTTTGTTGGAAAAACTACACACTAACGGCGATGAATCGCGACTTTCAACACTTCCTAAAGTCCAATATAGTACCTTTTCTAGGTAAAATAAACAGAGAGACTTAATAAATACTATAAACATCAAATATTTAAAAAATGTAGCTTTACATGGCAATTATTACAATTTGCAATGCAATAAAAGAACTGGTAAATACTAACCCCACATATTTTTAATGTACGTGGCTTATACGCATTATTCAAACCGAACGAACGAAACTGGAAATTTTTTTTGCATATACAAACACTTATTGTTCCCCTAGTTTGCTAGCATCTGTTGGCCTTGGCAACTTGTGCAAAAAATGGTATTAGCTTGGCCTAATAAAATCCTTTCAAGGCACAAAAGCAATTTCAATCTATTCTTGTAGTGCCAGGGGGGGCGGCTTAGCCTGGCCGAATCAAAGGAGAGGATATTACAAGATGAAGCTAAAGAAAATCTTAAACGAAAGGAAAATGGTTGCGGGTCCGTGGATGCCATGGTGATTGGAAGTGCTCTATTTATAAAATAATACAAAAAATCTTAGTATTTGTTAGTACTTGTGCATTTTAAAACAAGGAAAATATAACAGATTATGTTGATTCTATTTATTTAGTCATATTAATTTTATTTCGTCTTGTATTGTCCATGTATTCTTTATTAACCCGATTTCCCTCTAAATTAAATTTATATCCCGTATGTATCTTAAAGTAAAAGATACACCTTTCCAATCACCGAAATCCGCATAAATGTTTTCCTACCCTTCTGGCCAAAAAGCAAACAAAATACACAACACAAATACACTTTGGCTAAGCCCAACAGCATTAGAAGGGAGGGATTTCCAGCAAGTGAAAGACAACAAAAGGATTTAGGGCTCACATAGATGTGTAGACAAGCACAGATAGTTTGAATACTGATTGCCATGCCAGAAACCTGTTGGAGCAGTCGGACAGTTATAAATACACTTATAGAAAAACCCTTTTTCAGTTTTCTGAAAATTTTATTTGTTATTACATCGTCTTTAAGTTAAAAACTCACGATGGCATATATTTTGTTTTCTTATTCAAAAGTCTGTTGATATTATATATCTTATAATAATATACTAATATTTGATTATTAATATTTGATATATCCATTGTATCAATTATAATGACCTGGAGGTATGGAATACATATTATAATTATATTTTTAAAGTAATCTGTTTACTTAGCAAGTGCCAGCTTGGCCTTTCATGGGTGTCTTAACTTAATTTTCCAAATTTAAGTTATTAATCTTTCAGCAGACTTCACGAAATCCCTTTCTACAAAATTACCCCATGAGAACAAGTTTCGGTGTCTCAGAAACTTTTCCGAAATCAAAGCAAATTTACTCTGAAACACACACTAAACTAGGGAGAATGATGTGATTGAGTGGCTCGAGAATCAGATACCCTCTTCTCAGCTGACTTTAACCATAACTAACTAACTTTAAGACAAGAAACAACGTCAAAAACAAATGTAAGGCCCATACTAGGGGTACTACTGACCATGCAATGTCTTTTTAACCTAATAATTTAGTTATTCATAACTTGTAAAATAAAATTGCGATTGCTATGATTATTGGAATGTAATAAGTATTGATTTAAAAAAAAATTTCAGTCTACACTGAAATAAAATTTAAAAACTGTGGGAGACCTTTCCGTTATAGAAATATATATATAGTAAAAATTTTCCATTTATGGGTATCGTTAACCATTTTCTACTTGCTATTGACGAAGATTTAAAAAAAATTAAAACATTTATAAATTCAGAAAAATGGCTTAAACTAACAGTGCTGCCCTTTATTTTCAGTTGCCAGCACGCCGGAGAGTTTGCCCAACAAGCGGGACGAGGCAAGTGGTGGGGCAGGCAGCACCGGCGGCAGCAGTGGTGCAGCGAGCGGTGCAGCAAGTGGGTCGGCTGGACCTGCAACTGGAACTGGGACTGGATCTGGAGCCGGAGGAGCAGGTGGTGTCAGCACGCCGGCCCAAGAAGCCGTCAGTCCCACGGTCTCCGAGCTCAGTGGCAGCGGCACAAATGCGACAATAAATGGTCAAGTGGCAAGTAAGTAAGGAGCAGCTCATGGCATTCTGCATCCGTCCCTCGCTGTTGTGTGCCTTATTTTTGCATATTTCATCATCCGATCCTGGTGGGCACTGTGGGGAGGTCGCATTATAATTTCCATTTCGAGTAGAGGACAGGACACCGCAAAGCTTGTACACCGCCCGCATAATCCATCCTGCACCAGCTGCGGAGATTGCGGTGGCTAAGTCGGGCTGACATCGCTCGGAAATTGCGGGAATTTAGTTAGGATGGGTAGTTGTGGCTAAGCACTGGATTGGCTAATTGAAATTGCAATGCAGCGCAGTTCCCCTAATTACGTTTTTGTTTTAATGTTTGGTTTTTATCGAGCTAAAGCAAACTAGTTGTTTCTGAACTACGTTTTACGCCCTAGGCTACATACCACAAATGAAATTTTAAATCCTATTTAAATTAGCAAAGCCTAATAACGGACCACTCTGTTAATTATAATTAAACAAATAAATATATTGACAAATGGAAAAGTAATACCTTGGCAAACATTGTAATAGACAAATGCCTAGAAATTAATTTCGTTCAAATTAAAAAACGAAATACAGGTGAATGTAACAAATTAATTTAAAGAACCAATTTAAATTAGCAAATGCTTCCAAATTAGGAATTAAAATCTTAACTTTTTAATAAAAACGAATAAAACGATAAATTTATTTTGATGATAGACTTGGAAGTTTCAAGATTAGATACAAAAAAATTACATATTTAAATTAACCGTACAGGCATAGGTTAAATCAAGTTCTGAGCTTCGGAAAAAAGGTTGTCCCCTTGGGTTATTGTGCAATTATATTGTATAGCAGACTTTAAGGCATGATAATAATGAAAGAAATACCTCCATTGACAAATTTCTAAAGGCATGTTTATTTTGAAATTGGTTAGAAGTATAACAATCCCGGCATCCGACTACGTCGTTCTGTCTTGTTAACTTTTTAGAAATGCAGATCGGCACGAGTCCCTAATTAAAATCATATGAATTGTTTGTTTTAAGGAAATGGTATAATTATAAAAATAAGGTTTGGTGTCTCTTTCGCAAACTGGATTATACTTTGGGGTACAAGCACATGCTGTAGTTAAATCCATTGGGGCAAATGGAAACAGGGGAATCAACCCAAAATAAACCAAGCCTGTGATCTATAGTGTTTACACTCAGTGGCACTCATTATTGCGCGAGTATGTACCATGAAGTCGTAACCTTTCAAAGCGTTAAATCTTAATTTTATCACAAGCATAAAACAAACAAATTATTTTTTAAAGCAAGTGCTTTTATGTTACTATTCCAAATTAAAATTTTTTAAGATGAGCACTTTGGTTATAACTGAAAAGAACTTCCGTTTTTGCTCCCGTTTTTTCAATTAGTCCTTAATTTTTTAATTAGCAATAAAACTCAACAAACCCACTATCATAACTTAAAAAAACATTGATGGGAGACCATCGATCATGTTACCATTTGGGAAACACACTTTATGTGGCCATCATTCCACCTAATTGGCCGCGATTTCCGCCAACTCGCTCGCTTGGGTCAAAATCAGCGGAATTGGGCTTAGCCGTAAGCTGATGCCAGGTGGGGCCAGGTGGGGCCAGCTCATCGTTTTTCGCCGGTTTACCCGACATTGTGGGGTAAAATGAAGCGTTGAGAGTCATTAAGGACGTGAAGAGTCGCCAGTAAAAGAAGCGTAAAACATTTCATCCCAAAACTGGGGTCGATAAAGAGCCCGCGTATCTAGCAGTTAAGCTAAGGAATCTCGGGTGTAACATAAATTTAAGTGCAGCATAAAGCGGATTTTATGACTGCCCCATCACCTTTCTCTCGAGGTGCTTGCACTGTCAAAATAAATGGAATGCAGTTAAGATTCTCGCAGCCAAGACGAAGACACTCAGCTCTTTTTTTGTGGAGGGAGACAGGTTGGGGAATTCGCAGATAGATTGCTCTGTACTGTGTACACCCTCCTCGGCACTTGACAAACTCACACAGATAAATCCTTTGCACTTTTTGTCGACACGCCCGGGAAGGCAACTTTGGGCCAACTTGGAATGATGCCACTCAGCCAACTCGAGGGCCAAGAGTTTAGGGAAAAGGGCCAGGTCCTGCCTCGCAGGAGGAACTTCTTCAAGGGCTTTTGTTCGCTGCTCGTTAAGCACTTTCCCCCAGTTGGGGTTAAACTAAATAAAGAATTCTACGCTACAATGCCCTCAAATGATGGGAATAAATTATTGATTTCTTGTCGATTGTATCAAACGATTTCTGACCCAAGAAGAATGCAAACGGTGGAACGAAAATGGATAGAAAATGTTTGTAGCAAATGATTTACCTTAAAAAATTTGAATTTCTTAAGTTAATAACTTCACAATATTCTTTATTTTTGTATTTGCTTTTTAAATTCCTAGCACAACTGTTTTGATAACTTTTTAGTTAGTTAGGTTAGTACAAAATTAGAAAATTTACATGTAGTATAAAAATAAATTTCTTGATACAGCTTGTTCTTAAACTCTAAGCTTATTAATAAAAGTACGAATCAATAGAATTATTCCAACCACCCTTTAAAAAACACAGAGAGAAATATTCAAGTACATTATTCTTGAATTGAGATCATTGGTTCTTAAAATCCGTGTAAGTACATTTTGGTATCAATGTTCTCATATTAGAACGAGATGGTGAGAAGAGAAAAGTTATATTGAGTTTATTTATACACTACTGACTGGACTAATAGTTTATTTGTTGAGATATACAATGAAAATACCGCCAATTCAACTCGATTTAAGCAAAATGACAACTATTTCATCTTCAGAAATGTTATATTTTTAACAACATTTTCAACTCAGTTAAGAACGTCAGACTTTTCTCTGTGTAAAATTTTAAGTCAGCAAAAACTAAATCTCTTTTCAAAATTGTTATATCATAAACCATACTTTCTGCTTTTGTATATTTTATTTACTCACTCCTTTGTCCACTGTTCTCCCCTCATCTGAACCCTTTCCTCGGGGCCCTTGGTTGCTTCGTTAGTATCCCAGTAGGGCCCTAATCAATGTGTCAACAGTGAGAGTGACATAAGTAAGCAGACGGCAACTAAATCAGTTTCTTCCCCCAATTCCCTTCGGAATTTTGCAGGACACGGCTCACTGACGATTATCCGACGCACAAACAGCCGCAACTTTTCCCAAATCGACGGCCAGTTGGCATCGCCCTCGACCACCGCCTCCAGCAGCACAGTTCCGGGAATTAACTTCGCCCAGACGCCGCTCAGTGACCCACTTGCGGAGCGCCTGTGCTTTCGTTCCGGGAGCAACGGATCCGCATCCACATCCACGCCCGCCGGCGACAGCCGATCCAGCAATCAGGCCACCAGCTCAGGGCCATCCGCCAACGCCGCCGCCAAAATGCAGCCATCGTCGCCGAATGCCACCAACTATCTGGCCGACAACATTCAGGTCTCGTCGGCCACTCTATCGCAAACGGAAATGGTCCCGGGTCGCGATTCGACGGACTATACCACCATGCACTCGATAAACGTCGGCGCCGGCAACAACTCGTTCCTGCGGGGGGACACCGATATTCCGCAGGAGTCGGGACACTCCTTCGAAACGCCCTCGAATATATCGTTCGCCGCCGGGCAGTGGGATACGGAAAGTTTGCCGCAAGTCGACACGCCAGATGCCCTTAACAAAGCGGCCGGGAGGTAAGTTCCATTAAAAAATCCAACTCATTTACTCGCTTTGAGATGTTATTCTTCTTACCTGTGTGGTATTTGTGCGAAAGAAAGCGTTTCCTACTGGAAAACGTACTATATAATCTTAATCAGATCGGAGTAGGTTACCGGAATCCTGAATTTGGACTACCTTCTAGCTTTGCCGAGCTTTATAATCTGTTTTTACGAACCATTATCTACAGGAAAGTTAAGGTTTAATAATACTATAGTATACGTTTTTAATTATAGATCGCGTCGCAGTTAAATAAGCATTCGTTGTCGTAGGTTTTGGAATCCACTGGCTGGTTCAATGATATATTTTTGTCAATAAATTAAAATTTACAAAGGTATTATAAATTACTTTAAAGAGATGGGCTTAAATCGGCACTTACAGGGCCTAGATTAGATTATATGCATATATTCCGGGTATTAGCACGTCCCCTACTTTTGTGTTATCTAATGTTTTTCCCACTGCATTTAAGTTCGCATTCGTTGTAGGTTTCATTGTCCGTCTGTGCGTATGAACGCCGTGAAACTGTAACATATATTAGCTACAATACTGGGATTAAGCGTGCAGATTCTAGAGATTCCCGCGCAGCGCAAATTTGTTTCGTCAGGGTGCCATGCCCACTCTAACACCCACAAACCGTCAAAGCAAAATACAATTTTAAACAATGTCTACCGCCCACATACCCATATATTGAGATCGCGATTACAATCTCGTTTCGCAGCTTGCATCTCCCTTTTGGTCCCTTTAGCTGAGTAACGGGTATCTGTAGTCGAGGTACTCGACTATAGCGTTCTCCCTCGTTTCTTTTAGAACTCACCACTTTGGAAGTATGTTTTTAGTATTTCTCAACTATCTTCGAGAGTAAACTTACCCATTTCGAAACCCCCAAAAATATTAATAAATATAATATGTAGTTCAAAATGCAACCGATAAATAGGCCACCCTGTATTGAAAACGTTAGGTCTTAATTGTAATTATGCAAAAGCCTAATTAAGTTATCTCCGGCAGAGAATATAAATATTTTGCTGATACGATTCAAAACGGTTCCATATGGAACTGAACATTCGTGTTTTTAGCACGTCCCCACCTAGGCTACGGAATTGTCTTTCATTTTCGCTGTGAGGTTGAGGCATACGTTGGGTATACATATTGGAGTGGTCAGACTTCGACACTTATTTATAAATGAACCCAAAATTCGTATATTTCTCAAACGATAAATCGAAAGTTAAACGTCAAGGTAGGACTCGAAATCGATTTGCACACATCTTAATATTTAATCGAGTTAAAGGTGTTTATTTAAAAAAAAACATTTGATTAACAGTCGTATTTCTATAACGGCTTGTATTGACTAAAAGTTTTTTCAATTCAAATTTCTCAAATGTAAAAATCTAAACATGCCTAACAATGAATTACAGTTTCGTTGTCCTTGTAATACATTTTTAAGATATTTATATTCCTGCTACTAGCAATATCCGTTTTTGACCCAGGTAATTCCTTCCGCTTTTCCTAAGCAATTCAGTTGACAACGGTTGAGGTAGGTTTTAGAATTCGATCCACAGACTCTGGGAGTAATGAGAGGGCACAAACAAGGATTTTTTAATTCTTAGGCCGCTGACAGGACCGTAACTGTGAGCATGCAAAAAGGCATCAAAGCTGGGCAACGCATGGTATAAGTTCAAGACTGATCAGACAAGACTGAAGCTATCACAATCGACCGACACTCATTTCTATTTCCACCAGGAAGGGCTATATATTTAAAGCGATAAATTTAAATTTCTAATTCGTAAACGACTTAAATGGTATGTTGTGTTTTGTAATACTGGTTATTTTATACCATTAAAATGGTAGATTAAGTTCTTGAATACAAAATCATAAGGGAAGTGCTCAAAATAATTCATATGCGCAATAAAGTATTTAAACAAACTTGTTAAGTTTTGAGTGCATTGCCTCAATCGAGGGTGTCAAAGGACTTCCGGAACTGCAGGAATGTGCATATGAAGACGGACTTCGTTTACTCTAAATTTGGTTGTAAGATACAGTTAAATTCTGCGAATCTAATTCTTACAACTCAAAACTATGTTGCTGAAATGTAGTGAATGAGTAATTGTATTTCGACTATTAATTTTTTTATTTCATATATTGATTCTATGTTTTCTTCCGAGAGTTAGCAAACTCCTATCGTCCTTTCAACGGGCAATGGGAGTATTTGTCAACCGGTTTGCAGATCGGAAGTGCGCACCTGCAGCCCGGAGGAATCGTCATTGACATGGCCACAGGAGCCATCAGACAGACGGCGATCAAAATTGTCCAATTCATGGTATAAGTTTTGAACTAGTCAGATGGGACTGGAGCTTTATATATGCACCAGGAAATAATTTCTATTTAAAGCGATAAGTCATAATTTTATTACTTGAGCAAGGCAATGCATGGTTTCAGTATTAGACTGACCATGAAGAATTGCAGTTTTCAAATCAGTACGGCACCAAGCATATAGAAAGGTATATATTTATTTATTTATATCTCAACGCTACAAGTGCACACTTATAATTATCGCGCTAGTCACATTGAGTTCATATTTTTAAATTATTATTACTTTTAAATTATTGACATATAAAACCAATATAATTTTACACTGAAACAAAATCTTCAAAAATTTTTACGTTAGGCAGATTTTGGCTAAAACAAATAGCTTTTGAACAGATGGACAAGGCTAGATAGGCTTTGCTAGTATTTCTGATTAAGAATACTCCCAAAACTCATAGCTCTAGAGGTTTGGAGTTTATCTAAACACCTGTGGATTAATTTTGCGTCTCTAATTTATAACTCAAAACCTACCGACGGTAGACAGATTTAAATGTTATGGGCGTTAGAGTGGGCGTGGCAAATTTTTTTTTGGAGGTGTTGACGAGACTAATTCATTTCAGTTAAAATTTGTTATCTAGCATGAAAATTGTGGGAGTCACAGGTTTGGGCGGTTTGTGGGCGTTAAAGTGGGCGTGGCGAACTTTTTTCGGGTTAATCGATAGGTATTGATGAGAACAATACATTTCAGTTACAATTTTTATTCTAGCTTCAAAACTGTGGAGCCACAATTTTGGGCGGTTTGTGGGCGTTAGAGTGGGCGGGGCACTCTGCTGAAACAAACTTGCGCTGCGTAAGAAGCTCAGGAATCTGCACTCCAAGTCTCAATAGCCTAGCTCTTATAGTTCCCGAGATCTCAGCGTTCATCCAGACAGACGGACAGTCAGGCAGACGGACATGGCTAGATCGACTCGGCTAGTGATCCTGATCAAGAATATATATACTTTATGGGGTCGAAAACGCTTCCTTCTACGTCACATACTTTTCAACGAAACTAGTCTACCGTCTTACTCTACGAGTAACTGGTACAACCTGTTGCTCAAATGTAGTGAATTGAGCAATTTTTACGTTAAATTCTGCGATTCTAATTCTTTATATCTCAAAACAAGGTTGCTGAAATGTAGAGAATTGAGTAATTTTATTTCGACTTAATTTTTTTCATTTACATATAATGTTTCCATTTTTACTTCCGAGAGTTAGCAAGGTCCATCCTTAACCACTTTAACTGGATGAGTTAATGCTGCACAGTTTAGGGCGCAATCGTTGGGGTAGGTAATGTTATCCGATCCGCAGATCTGTTCAAGTTTTGCATAACACATGCAGGGCATAGGTGCTATGGCCACTGACATGGCCAAAGGAGCCATTAAACAGAGAGCGATCAAAATTGTCCAATTCATGGTATAAGTTTTAAACTAGTCAGATGGGACTGGAGCCTTATATATGCACCAGGAAATAATTTATATTTAAAGCGATAAATCATAATTTTATTACTTGAGCAAGGCAATGCATGGCTTTAGTATTAGACTGACCATGAAGAATTGCAGTTTTCAAATCAGTACGGCACCAAGCATATAGAAAGGTATATATTTATTTATTTATATCCCAGCGCTACAAGTGCACACTTATAATTATCTCGCTAGTCACAGCGAGTTGATATTTTTAAATTATTATTACTTTTAAGTTATTGACATATAAAACCAATATAATTTTACACTGAAACAAAATCTTCAAAAATTTTTACGTTAGGCAGATTTTGGCTAAAACAAATAGCTTTTGAACAGATGGACAAGGCTAGATAGGCTTTGCTAGTATTTCTGATTAAGAATACTCCCAAAACTCATAGCTCTAGAGGTTTGGAGTTTATCTAAACACCTGTGGATTAATTTTGCGTCTCTAATTTATAACTCAAAACCTACCGACGGTAGACAGATTTAAATGTTATGGGCGTTAGAGTGGGCGTGGCAAATTTTTTTTTGGAGGTGTTGACGAGACTAATTCATTTCAGTTAAAATTTGTTATCTAGCATGAAAATTGTGGGAGTCACAGGTTTGGGCGGTTTGTGGGCGTTAAAGTGGGCGTGGCGAACTTTTTTCGGGTTAATCGATAGGTATTGATGAGAACAATACATTTCAGTTACAATTTTTATTCTAGCTTCAAAACTGTGGAGCCACAATTTTGGGCGGTTTGTGGGCGTTAGAGTGGGCGGGGCACTCTGCTGAAACAAACTTGCGCTGCGTAAGAAGCTCAGGAATCTGCACTCCAAGTCTCAATAGCCTAGCTCTTATAGTTCCCGAGATCTCAGCGTTCATCCAGACAGACGGACAGTCAGGCAGACGGACATGGCTAGATCGACTCGGCTAGTGATCCTGATCAAGAATATATATACTTTATGGGGTCGAAAACGCTTCCTTCTACGTCACATACTTTTCAACGAATCTAGTCTACCGTCTTACTCTACGAGTAACTGGTACAACCTGTTGCTCAAATGTAGTGAATTGAGCAATTTTTACGTTAAATTCTGCGATTCTAATTCTTTATATCTCAAAACAAGGTTGCTGAAATGTAGAGAATTGAGTAATTTTATTTCGACTTAATTTTTTTCATTTACATATAATGTTTCCATTTTTACTTCCGAGAGTTAGCAAGGTCCATCCTTAACCACTTTAACTGGATGAGTTAATGCTGCACAGTTTAGGGCGCAATCGTTGGGGTAGGTAATGTTATCCGATCCGCAGATCTGTTCAAGTTTTGCATAACACATGCAGGGCATAGGTGCTATGGCCACTGACATGGCCAAAGGAGCCATTAAACAGAGAGCGATCAAAATTGTCCAATTCATGGTATAAGTTTTAAACTAGTCAGATGGGACTGGAGCCTTATATATGCACCAGGAAATAATTTATATTTAAAGCGATAAATCATAATTTTATTACTTGAGCAAGGCAATGCATGGTTTCAGTATTAGACTGACCATGAAGAATTGCAGTTTTCAAATCAGTACGGCACCAAGCATATAGAAAGGTATATATTTATTTATTTATATCTCAACGCTACAAGTGCACACTTATAATTATCGCGCTAGTCACATTGAGTTCATATTTTTAAATTATTATTACTTTTAAATTATTGACATATAAAACCAATATAATTTTACACTGAAACAAAATCTTCAAAAATTTTTACGTTAGGCAGATTTTGGCTAAAACAAATAGCTTTTGAACAGATGGACAAGGCTAGATAGGCTTTGCTAGTATTTCTGATTAAGAATACTCCCAAAACTCATAGCTCTAGAGGTTTGGAGTTTATCTAAACACCTGTGGATTAATTTTGCGTCTCTAATTTATAACTCAAAACCTACCGACGGTAGACAGATTTAAATGTTATGGGCGTTAGAGTGGGCGTGGCAAATTTTTTTTTGGAGGTGTTGACGAGACTAATTCATTTCAGTTAAAATTTGTTATCTAGCATGAAAATTGTGGGAGTCACAGGTTTGGGCGGTTTGTGGGCGTTAAAGTGGGCGTGGCGAACTTTTTTCGGGTTAATCGATAGGTATTGATGAGAACAATACATTTCAGTTACAATTTTTATTCTAGCTTCAAAACTGTGGAGCCACAATTTTGGGCGGTTTGTGGGCGTTAGAGTGGGCGGGGCACTCTGCTGAAACAAACTTGCGCTGCGTAAGAAGCTCAGGAATCTGCACTCCAAGTCTCAATAGCCTAGCTCTTATAGTTCCCGAGATCTCAGCGTTCATCCAGACAGACGGACAGTCAGGCAGACGGACATGGCTAGATCGACTCGGCTAGTGATCCTGATCAAGAATATATATACTTTATGGGGTCGAAAACGCTTCCTTCTACGTCACATACTTTTCAACGAATCTAGTCTACCGTCTTACTCTACGAGTAACTGGTACAACCTGTTGCTCAAATGTAGTGAATTGAGCAATTTTTACGTTAAATTCTGCGATTCTAATTCTTTATATCTCAAAACAAGGTTGCTGAAATGTAGAGAATTGAGTAATTTTATTTCGACTTAATTTTTTTCATTTACATATAATGTTTCCATTTTTACTTCCGAGAGTTAGCAAGGTCCATCCTTAACCACTTTAACTGGATGAGTTAATGCTGCACAGTTTAGGGCGCAATCGTTGGGGTAGGTAATGTTATCCGATCCGCAGATCTGTTCAAGTTTTGCATAACACATGCAGGGCATAGGTGCTATGGCCACTGACATGGCCAAAGGAGCCATTAAACAGAGAGCGATCAAAATTGTCCAATTCATGGTATAAGTTTTAAACTAGTCAGATGGGACTGGAGCCTTATATATGCACCAGGAAATAATTTATATTTAAAGCGATAAATCATAATTTTATTACTTGAGCAAGGCAATGCATGGCTTTAGTATTAGACTGACCATGAAGAATTGCAGTTTTCAAATCAGTACGGCACCAAGCATATAGAAAGGTATATATTTATTTATTTATATCCCAGCGCTACAAGTGCACACTTATAATTATCTCGCTAGTCACAGCGAGTTGATATTTTTAAATTATTATTACTTTTAAGTTATTGACATATAAAACCAATATAATTTTACACTGAAACAAAATCTTCAAAAATTTTTATGTTAGGCAGATTTTGGCTAATAAACTCAAAACAAGGAAGAACGCTATAGTCGAGTACCTCGACTATCAAATACCCGTTACTTAGCTCAAAGGACCAAAGGGAAATGGAGATATGCAAGCAGCAAAGCGATATTGTAATCGCGATCTCAATATATGGGTATGTGGGCGGCAGACAATATGGCCGTTAGAGTGGGCGTGGCAAACTTTTTGGCTGTTTGTGCGCTGCGCACGCCTAACCCTAGTATTGCAGCTTTCAAAGGTTCTGACATCATAGCGTTCATACGGACAAACTGAAATGGCTTGATAGACTCGGCTAGTGATCCTGATCAAGAATATGTATACTTATGGAGTCGAAAACGCTTCCTTCTACCTGTCACATACTTTTCAACGAATCTAGTACACCGTCTTACTCTACGAGTAACTTGTACAACCTGTTGCTCAAATGTAGTGAATTGAGCAATTTTTACTTTAAATTCTGCGAATCTAATTCTTTATATCTCAAAACAAAGTTGCGGAAATGTAGAGAATTGAGTAATTTTATTTCGACTTAATTTTTTTCATTTACATATATAGTTTCTATTATTACTTCCGAGAGTTAGCAAGGTCCTTTTTTAACCACTTTAACTGGTTTAGTTAATGCTGCACAGTTTAGGGCGCATTCGTTGGGGTAGGTAATGTTATCCGATCCGCAGAGCGGTTCAAGTCTGAGATAACAGATGCAGGGCATAGGTGTAAAGGCCACTGACATCACCAAAGGAGCCATTAAACAGAGGGCGATCAAAATTGTCCAATTCATGGTATAAGTTTTGAACTAGTCAGATGGGACTGGAGCTTTATATATGCACCAGGAAATAATTTCTATTTAAAGCGATAAATCATAATTTTGTTACTTACTTGAGCAAGGCAATGCATGCCTTTAGTATTAGACTGACCATGAAAAATTGTAGTTTTCAAGTCTGCATGTAGAAAGGTGTTGACACATAAGATCAGTATAATTTTACACTGTAAGAAAATCTTCAAACGGTAGTGAATCGCTGCGGAAACTAATGGCTTCCGGACAGGCTAGTACTCCGGATCAAGAATATATGTCCGTTGAAAGATTGGAAACGTTTTTTTCTTACTTTTTCATACTTTCCAAAGTAAAGGGTATAAGAACTTGGCAATGCTAGCATATATGTTACTTAAAGTTATATGCCTTTTACTTAGCATGAAACTGCTCAAATATTGTACTAAAATGTGTTTAAAACTCCACAGAATACGCAGTCTGCTCCGGCGCATGGACCATGAGACCGTTGCCTACGAAGATATGCAGCGCAATCTACATTATGCGGCTCGTGTACTCGAAGCCGTCTTCATTGACGAATCAAGGTAGGTGAAGGTAGAAGTGATCTTTTACCATAAGGCAGCCCCAAAAAATAGAAAATTTTGCAAGCTTCTTGGCGAGCTAACCTAACCAAGAGGATAGCGAGTCGAGACGAACCGGTCCTTGGACAACTCTGCTTCAGCTTGGGCTTCCTTGGGGCTCCCATCGAATTGGTTTAGGCTTTGTATCCCATTTTAGGAGTAGGATCCATCCGACTAACGCTGCGTAGTTTCAAAATTTCGGATTTGCACCCAAGGCAAGCTTCCATTTACCCATCATATCATCTAACTTCGCTATTTAAAGAGATAACGACCTTTAAAGCCTAATTGAGGATCCTTATACCAACCGAATGTATACATATATCTGAATATTTTTCTTTTTATATCCGTTCTGTTACTGTTACTCTGTGTGTGTGTCTGTGTTATTGAGCAGAAGCCCCACAACAGGTAAAACAAAGTTGGGGCAGATTGCGTCCTCATCCGTTGAGAGCGAAGAGTAAGTGTTCCCATCGAGTCAAACTTGTCGCTTTGGTTTTGTCGTTAACTCTGTTGATTTTTAACTCTAACATCTCGTCTATAATAAAACCATACCCGAACTCGCGCCCACATCAAACCTGAAACCCACAGTAACCACTATTATTCACCTTTCTCACAACTTTCTTCTTCCAACTTCTTTCTAACTCTGTTACCGACTATTTCTAACCTCATTCTTTGTAGTGCTCTCTTCAGTTCATGTATTTCGAGAATCGAAATCTATTCTATGCCTTGCTCTAACAGTAAAAAAGAAACTAGTCCATCACCATTATCAATCGTATCTATTCTGTCTTCTATCTCTCATTAAACAGCATATCATATAACGTTTGCAGAGATCGAGTATTTCTTAGCCCTAGCCTAGCCTTACGTAACGTATAACTGTGTACTGTATTCTTCGGCTCTTGAGAATTACTAAGTTAAGGTTAAGACCCCAAAACACCGTCCCCTAACGATTCGCAGCACCGTATTTTATTGAAGAACTTTAACTCACCTGTCTGCCATCAATTCTCAGTGTCTTACTTTTGTGCTCGTCATTTCTCTCGGTGTATCTGCATTATTTCTACTCAGTTCGCCAGACCGAATTCTCTGTGTGCTCCCTCTGAATCTAACCCGTATTCCTACTCTTCTGCTATAACTTCGCCTCTGAAAAGCTATTCGCTATATAACTTCAACTCCTAGTGATGTGCAGAAAGCGATAAATAATTTTGAAGGGTTGCATTTTAAGGATGGTTGGGCAAAGCCGTTTGATAGGATTTTCTTTTTATGTTTAAAAATATATTTTTTAATCGAAGTCAAGAGGTAAATGAGCGAAACTAATTACTCTACTTATTTCGGTAAACATTTTTTGTTTTATTTTGAAAATATTTAAAATGTATTCCGGTAAGCTTTGCACTTCGCAGCCCGATTTCGGTTCGCTTTCCAGCCGCTGAAGGGAACTCTCCACCAATACGAGCCCAATGCATCAGTGCATTTTTATTATTTACCACACTTTCAATTAAATCCCCCACCGAACCACTCCCGAATGTCATCTGCATATGTATGGACTGTGTATGGAATCCATTGTATTCAGGTGCCAGGCCACATGAATTATTAAAGTTTTCCTACCTACCGAACCCACTCATGACACGATTCTTCGATTTACATAGCCAAGTGTGGTTGGATTGAAAGTGGCTTTCCCTATTTGCCCCACTTATTTTATTCCTTGTTTTGTCAAAAACTCACAAAGTTTCAGAGTTAACCTTGCTTGCCATTAAGGCTAGCTTTGTATGTTGTTGTGGAATTGATGCATTTTAAAACTTTGCCATAAAGGGACAAATTGAATTCCTTGAGCTGTGAAACATTTTACTTTCATGGTTGAATCAAATTAAGGCAAAAAGTTACAAACTACAATATTAAAATATTTTTATTTCAAATATATTTTTTTTTCACTTATGTGTTATTTCAAAAGATAGTTCAACATTCCTTTAGGGCGAATTTTAAGAGCTAATTTACAGATATTTGTTGCTGGTGAGGCCTTCTTCGTGGGAAAAGTCCGATCCCCTACCCCTACTAAACCCTAAAGCTTTACCACAATCTCTCAACTGATGTTCTATTTATATATTCTTTCTTTCTATTGCCAAAACTATTTATCTAAAATGAAAAACATGAAAACTTAATGAAAACTTACACAAACAAACCGAATGCAATGCAACATGAAATCAACGTGGTGTCTCGTAATCTAACAATTGCCCATTGCACCGGTTCGCTGTTACTCACTGCCAACTGCTGGTCGCCGAAAAAACACTTGACCGCCTGCCTTGGACTCGAAAATTGCGCCCAAACCCGCAGAGAGGGCTGCAACGGGAACTGCAAGAACCTGAGCTGCAGTCGCCACAGCCACGGACGAGATGACCGGCAGCAGCAGGTGGACAACAACAACTCGAACAGCAGCTGCAGCCTGCAGGAGGTGGCTCCGGGGGGAGCAGGCGGTGGTGGGGCCCCGCCGGCGGGTGACAACCAGGACAGCATAGCGGGTCGCACCAAGGGCGTCTCCCTGGCGCCGCAGACACACAGCGGACCCACTGGGCCCCCATCCTCGCCAGAAACCAGTTCCGCCACCCCACCTGCTCCCAAACTCCAGCCCGCCCTCGAGACCGTAAGGGAATCGGTGATGGAGGAGGGTCCTTCGAAGGAGCCAGGCGACCAGGGAGCACCACCGACCACGGAACCGAGTGCCAAGGCGGCGGCGGAGGGTTCAGGGGCCAGCGGCGGCAGCAGTGGCAGCTGCAGTAACCCAGCGACCGTGCACCGGCAACGGCGCCTCAGGACACCCACCTGGGCCAGGTCCATGTCGACGAACAAAACGTACTTGAAACTTCATTTCTAAGCTAACCGATTATCCGTTACGCCTCTTCAGTTCGTTCGATTTGCCTTCTTTTTCGTTTGACGTTTGCGTTAACTACCAACAACAACAGCAACACGCTCCAGAATGAACTACTCTATCTAACAACTCTGTCTATCTATCTCTCCTCCTTCCAACTCCAATCTATCTGTCTGCTGACCTCTGTCTGCGATTTCCACTGCTGTAATCTTCTGTCTAGCCTCTGTCCCCTACCCCAATCTTTTGCTCGCTTCTGTTGTAAATAACTATTTATCCTAGACTCATAAGAAAAAAAAGAAGACACTTGTTTTGTCCCCCACCCGCGCTCTGCGTGATTGTAAATGTTCCTTGCCGCGACTTTTGTAAAAAAACATTTTACAAATTACAAAAAAAAACTGCGTTGGATCACAGATTAATGTAATTGTGTTCGCAAACGTAGTTTGTTTTTACAGACGCAGAAACTGGAGGTTTCGAATTTTTCTGTCAATTTAAATTTCATTAAAGTATTCCTAGGCTTACCATGTCTTAAAGAAATATTAAAATAAATAAAGTAGTTTTTGTTTTTCATTTGGACGTCGCACTTAAAATTGCTGTGTACAATGTTTGTAATATATGGTTAACTCCGAAACAAACTTAAAAAATTTTAACTAAACAAAAAACTTCCAGTTTCTGTACACATGTCGCAATTTAAAACACTTATTTTCGTCGACCAGTGTAATTTTGTACATACATAGTCTGTATACCACACATGAAACCATGGCATGTTACTTGTCCTTTGTTCGTTTACTAATAAATATAGCTTGCGCATGTGTTTTGTCATTTAAAACTTTAAAAGTGGCGCCCAAGTCTCTAAGTTATCGCCTTATCGATTAATGGTTGTCCAACACTGGCCAGCTGATCGTGACCAGGTGGCCACTCCTCGCAATGGTAAGACCGTCCTCGCCTAAATAGCTCGGTATTTTTCGCGATCTGTGGCTGGGGTCACACTATTGCCGCCAAAAAAAAAACATTTTACTTCCCTCACAATTTAAACATTTTTAGAGGCGTAAACTAATAGTTTATTGCAATCGGGGGCATATTTTGGGGTTCAGTTAACCGGGAAAACGTGCCGCGCGTTCGAAATGAGCAGTGATAAAGTGAAGAACGGCAACGAGGCCGAGGAGTCGGAGGAATCATGTGGCGTGAGTAGCGAATGATAAATGGATGTGCGAGATGGGAATTAATGGATCTTTTTTGGGCCCTGCGTCGGCAGGATGAGTCGGCCAGTTATACGACCAACAGCACCACCTCGCGGAGCAAGTCGCCGTCGTCCAGCACGAGGAGCAAGCGCCGCGGACGCCGGAGCACCAAGTCGAAGCCAAAGAGCCGCGCGGCCTACAAATACGAGTAAGGAAAAGCAATTAACTATCGAGCTGGCATCTGATTCTGAGCTGATTCCCCTTTCCACCACGCCCCGCCCCCAAAGCACCCACGTGAAGGAGAACCACGGAGCAAACATCTTCGGCGTGGCCTTCAACACGCTGCTCGGCAAGGAGGAGCCCCAGGTCTTCGCCACCGCGGGCAGCAACCGGGTCACGGTCTACGAGTGCCCCCGGCAGGGCGGGATGCAGCTGCTCCACTGCTATGCAGATCCGGATGTGAGTTCCGTAGATATCTACTCATTTTCAAGACCTAACGTATCGGTTAATTAGTGTTAGGGGCTTTTAATGCTCACGTCGTAAACTTAAATACAAGAAAACCTGCTAGGAGAAATAAACCCTTGCAATTTAAATGGCATTTGATCGTCTACGAGTGATCCTGCAAGCCGGAAGACAGCTTCTCCACTGCCAAGCAGATCCGGATGAAAATTCCCTAGATATAGCCTCGTTTTCTAAAGCTTAATTCTCAGTGTTTTATAGTTGGAAACTTCTTATACTAACATTGTGTTGACAGAATCTAAAATCTGTTTGGAAATGAGATCCAATTTGCCTGTCCAAGTTGGAATCTCCGCGACAGGGTGCGATCAGTCAGTTGGTTAATAGTCATAATGTAAGCACAAGTAATAGAATAGGAATTTGAAGAAAATATGGAATTAAGGGTAACCTTTTGATATAAGCATTTACTTGATAGAATCTCAGGGTGGGATAAGTCAGTTAGTTAATAGTCATAATGTAAGCACAAGTAATAGAATAGGAATTTGAAGAAAATATGGAATTAAGGGTAACCTTTTGATATAAGCATTTACTTGATAGAATCTCCCTTTTCTTAGCTATAACCCTATTTTAGAGCAGACCAGACTTCGAAGTAGTCTCTAAAAATATAAGCATTTTATGTTTAATACAGTCAGATTACCAACATCGATATAATTTAACGAGGGCTTAACTCAAGTAAAATTATAAATTCTGAAAGAGGGTATTAAGATCGAATACCATTCAAATTGGCTCCTCTTTAGAAAATCTATGATATTCCATCGTTATATTCCAATGGGTAAATATTTATTTAAATCCATAGCTGCTTATAGTATTTTATTGTAGATTAGGTATAGCAGTTTTCCCTTTGTAATCTTAGATCGTACAAAATCGTAGGTCAGGAAAATGAGTCGAAAATCGCAGAAAATATTGAAAACTTTTGAATTGCTCCCCAGCCCGATGAGGTATTTTACACCTGCGCCTGGTCGTATGACCTGAAGACCTCTGCCCCACTCTTAGCCGCTGCCGGATACCGAGGTGTCATTCGAGTTATCGACGTCGAGCAAAATGAGGCGGTGGGCAACTACATTGGACATGGACAGGCTATCAATGAGCTGAAGTTCCATCCGCACAAGCTGCAGCTTTTACTTTCGGGCAGCAAGGATCATGCGATAAGGTTGTGGAACATACAGAGTCACGTCTGCATTGCCATCCTGGGCGGAGTGGAAGGACATCGCGACGAGGTGCTATCCATAGACTTCAATATGCGCGGAGATCGCATCGTTTCCAGCGGCATGGATCACTCGCTGAAACTGTGGTGTCTTAATACGCCTGAATTCCATCACAAGATCGAGCTATCGAATACTTTCAGCCAGGAGAAATCCACGCTGCCTTTTCCCACGGTGACCAAACACTTCCCCGACTTTTCGACGCGGGATATACACAGGAACTATGTGGATTGTGTGCAGTGGTTTGGCAACTTTGTGCTCTCCAAGTCCTGCGAGAATGCCATCGTGTGCTGGAAGCCGGGACAGCTTCACCAGAGCTTCGAGCAAGTGAAGCCGAGCGACTCTTCCTGCACCATCATTGCGGAATTCGAGTACGACGAATGTGAGATCTGGTTCGTGCGGTTCGGCTTCAATCCCTGGCAGAAGGTGATTGCCCTGGGCAACCAGCAGGGCAAGGTGTATGTGTGGGAGCTGGATCCCAGTGATCCGGAGGGCGCCCACATGACCACCCTGCACAACCCACGCAGCGTGGCCACCGTGCGACAGATCGCCTTCTCCCGGGACGCCAGCGTCCTGGTTTACGTCTGCGACGACGCCACCGTGTGGCGCTGGAATCGCAGACAGGCGGCTGCCATCTGATGGCACATCAAAGCGCAACCACACACCAAATCTCACGTGGCCAAATCTTATTACATTTCCCTAAATTAGTTCCTAGTTGGTTAACATAAGTTTAGAACTGTCAGTATGCCTCAAACAATTCCTAATAAATCCAATAAATGGTTGTCGAGCCAATTATAATTATGTAAAAGAGTTTAATTTACTTGAAATGTGTAAGAATGAATAGTTGTTTAACCGATTTCAGTTCTGTTTGCTTACTGTTTCCTTTATTTATTTAAAATAAATCAAGTGAGCTGATTTATTTCCGAATATGCTACCCTAAAGATGTATTACCTACTTGAATAGAATCCGAACTGCTGCTCTTTAAGCTGTGTAAACGTCTTCAAGTTGGCTGAGTGTCCCCAGTTGGCCATTCTAATTGTGGAACAAAGCAAAGCTTCGCATAACAAATGGCTTTCAATTGCTACGTCATTTATATGCATTGCTGCACTGGCAGGGAGCTCCAATCTGCTGCTGTTGCCCGGGAATGTGGGGGATAAACGCGACGAAATTGAAACTGCCAACGGGAGTGCGGAATCGGGATGAGCGAGTGAGTAACCAAGCGGCGGACAGCAATTCCAGGCAGCCATAACAGCTCCCAGCAGACTGATTAAGCGGACAAAGTCCCACAATGATTTGCCATACCCTCGCTCGGTTTTTATTGAACGCTTTCGTCTGATGAAAGTGCGGCCATTTCTATCATTGCTTTTTCGGGTGTAGGTAATGGAAATTTATGAAAATAGCTTGTTCTATTATGATGGGAACTTTGATGGGGTTCCATTTGGAGTCCGCTATCCTGGACTATTCCTGCATCATAAACATGAAGAGGAATTTATGAAAAAGGTCTTGCTGTATTTTCCATTTAGTGCGAAAATAGTTGGACCTCGCTTATTTTACCTACGCTTTTTGTACATCCTTTTCTAGTCATTGGATGAAAATAGAGGCAGCTTTTTGTGGGTACAAAAATCATAGATATTTAAGCTAAGTAGATGAGAACTCTTTTTTTTTTATTCAAGATAAAACAGTCTTATATTTATAATAACATATTTTTAGTTGTGTCTTAAACAAAGTCATCTCTTTCTTCGGTATAGGAAGGAATAGATATTTAAGCTACATAGGCAATACCCCTTTTTTTTTAAGGAAAAGGCGTTTGTATATTTATATTTTAGGATTATTTTGTTACTGTGGAATGTTAAGATAATAGGGTATCTCAAAGTTGTCAAGATCTCGACAATATATTTTTGCTCACATCGTTCTCGGTTGATTGGGCTTGCATCTTCTTTGTCCGCCGTTCGTTGACCGCACTCCTTTCATCTCCGAACACCCGGTTCCACTCCATTTGGTGGTTGTGATTAATTAGCTGGAGATGCCTCGGATCGACTTGCCGTCGGCATTAAGTTGTCGAATTGCGATTCCCAGAACTCGTCGAGGGTTTAGCCTTGACACGCAGAGTCAAGCTAATCCGGAGCCATTGTTCTAGTTCTCCTTTTTTCGAGGGAGTACCGCATGGGGCCATAAATTAAATCGAAAACCGAAGCGGGGACTTTCCATTGTTCGGGGGAGTCGTGCTCCTCCTGGGCGCCTGCATTATGTTTGTCATTTGTACTTGTTTGTCTGTCCAGATGCAACTCGGCACGCTCCTCGGCCACCAGTTCCACGCACGTCCTCAGCTACGCCCGTCGCCACAGTCTCATCCACGAGCGCGAATACGGCGTCAACTCCAATAAACGACGCATCATCCGCCTGCGGTTTGTCCTCCCACCATCTCCTCCACATCACGCCGTCTGTTCTGTTTCGATGTTGTCGCTTGCACTGGAAAAAATATCACTTCCGAAATGCCTCTAGTGTTTTAAATTTATAGTAACTACACATATAAATCAACACTTAATAAATATTTAAGGGTGATGCACTATTATTACTAATATAAGAATATATAGCAACAAAGGCAAAGGCTTACAGCTTATGAAAATAAAATTTTTTAATGCTTTAGAAAAGTCTGAAACAACTTGTTGTTAAAAATGTTATTCATTTTATGTCAAGTTTTTATGAACGACTACATTTTTAAGGTTATTTTTGCAGAGGGATAACAAATTTTTAATCGATTGTGTTCAGTTTCAAATCCTTAGAACACCATCTTCTTTGGAACGGCCACTAAATATCATAACATAACATAAAAATTTCACAACAAAATTTATATCAATCAATTTATAGAGTGTCATTTTTTGAAATGTTTTCCAAATATTAAAGTCCAATAAATAAATATACATAAAAAATATAATTTAGCACCATCTGCGGTTTTCAAGTTATTATAAATTTTTTAAATGTTTGATATTTCAGTTAAGTTTTTCTCAACCTTTTACAACATTTTTAATAATAATAGCTGAAGCTCCGCTCTTAACCATTAGAAAACCCATTGGATACCTACTTTCTCCGAGTGCATTTGTGTGATTGCCTCTGCTGTCTTTCTGTGTGTTCACTCGCAAAATACGCAATTAACCGCACTCTGCACTCCGTCACCACGAACCCACTCAGATGATGATTTGCGTCTCGCACTTGTCGGTCCAAAATTAATCAAGCCAAGCGCCGCTGGTGAGGAAAGTAAGGATGTGCGTCCTCCAAGAGGCCGTCACTTTAATTCGGTTTACATGTGCCGTCGACACCGAAATTAGTTTAGCGCGTCAGTTTTGGCAAAGCTCGAAAGTCAGAACGGTCTACGGGGTACTGTCCCACTAAAAGCCCCCAAATCAGTCCAAGAAAATCCCCGGCTTTGGTTTTAAGCTCTTAAAAGGGGGGCGTTGCGACAGCCCTCTTTCGATTTATGAAGACAAATCGTCAAAAGGAAGCCGCGCGTACTAAAGATTTCCCTAAAAGCCCACAAATTACTTCGATCTGAAGACCTGCTAAAATAAAAGAAATAAGAATTTACTTTCATTATAATAAGGTTGGATATTCTTAGGAACGGAAGCTATTTTCTTATAAGAATATAATACAGAAAATTTAATTCAAACCAATTTTAAATAACTACATTAAATATTGTATTTGTTTATTTAAGACGATAGTAAAGCTAACAAAACCAATACTAACATAGGAGGTGTAGTGTTAGCTATGAGGCCTTCGACTACGTATTTGTTTACTTAATTTAATCATATAATAACAATATACATAAAGTTACGGATTTCAGAAATTCCGAAAGTATTATGTTTTAAAATATGTGATTAACACTTCATTTAATTTAAAGATTTTACAATTTTCGTTTTCTATTATTTTCCTGAACGGTATAGATAAACCAGTTCCAAAAAATAAAACAGTCGTTGATTTGTACTTTACTTTTGCGATTTTCAAGTTTCCTATTCAATTTGCATAAATGCTTACACTGAAGACCCATAAAAGTACCCACAATACCCAAAGTATCTTATCATTGCCGCCGTCGCTGACGCAATTTTGCTTTTTTTAATTATGATAAATACAAATAATAATAAAACTTCAAAAAGCTGAAACGAAGAACTGCAGAAATCACAAATTCTGTAAAATTTGAGGTAGATATAAAACTGCTCATGGGTATGCGCGCATGTGAATGTCGTAATCAACGGCGCAGATATCTATTGTTGAAAAATTCACAAATTAAATGCCATTTTGCGGCTTCATTCATGCCGATAAGGTGGAAATAAATTTAATGTGTTTTCGTTTTCGGACCCCGCACACATCGCGCTGATCGGACAGAATAGTGAAAAATATGTAAAAAAGTTTCGAACCCTGAAAATAAATGCGAATTATTCAATAAATCACAATTAAAGGGAAATTTCGCAATTATGCCGCAGAGGAGGCGTCAGCGGCGGGAGGGCGTGGCAAGCAAGTAATTGGAACTGTATCATTAATAGTCATTAACTCTGATTGGACGAGTGGCGGATTGTCAGGTCTCGTTAAGTGATGTATGTGCGCTATAATTAATGGGTTAGCAGCAGTTTTCATACCTGCAGCAGAGACCAATTAAAATTGCGGATAATATTCAAATGAGTCAGACGCAAACCCCCATCGACCGCACGGAAATTGGGTCACCAGTCCTCCAAACCCATCCCCCGCGTTCCAAGTTGAAGGTTACTCTCTAGTAGGTACATATATAAACAGTGGCTAAACGTCGTGGAGTCTCATCAATCATCTTCCGGCGAGTACAATGGGAGTGACCCAAAAAAAGCAAATAACCCCGCGACGAAGCACAATCGACCCCACCTTGAGGAGCCCAGCTGATACTACCATTACCCAATGCGAAAATCAATAACAAATGATGTTAACTGCCAATTTCTGCCACATCGGCAGGCCGAAGTGCTGGGGAATGGCGAGGGAGTTGGGAAATGTATCCAAAATAGTCGCATCAAATGAAAGGACCTTCGGCCCGGTCTGTTGTCCTGCTATTACGTCCTGTCCTGTCTTCCGCCTTTCTGGTAATACAAAGCGAATACGCACTTTAATCGCACAAAGCCGTGGGCGTACTTTGATAAGCGAGAGTTGGTATTAATGTTTCTGGGTTTAAGTTGGTAAAGAAGTTAGTAAGGGTTGTACAAGTTTATAAATACAACATTCTTTGGTATACCAAGGGTTTTCTCAAGTCAAATCAAATCATTCAATCAAAATTATCAAGGACTTTAGTATTTCATATGGTCTGTACATGTTCTACAAAAAGCTATAGCCATCTTGGGCAATTTCGTTAAAATAAATTTATTTCTGACCTTATAAAGTAATATAACAGCCGTCTAATAAATGTTAATCCTTTTAAAATTATAATTAAAATAACATGTAAATTATAATTTACTTACCCTTTCATTCAAATTTGTTTGTTTTATGAAACTATTTTATTAGGTTTAATAAATATCGGATGATATTTATGAATATTGTCCTCGTACTTGCAATTCAAAAGAAGAATTTAAAGCCAACCTTTAATAATATAAATTCTTTAAGCAACCCTCGCAGTATTCTTCCCAGGTTTTTCCCTAAATACTGGATATAAAAACATAAAATAAATATTATTTATTTTATCGTTTCACCGTAACTACTATTTTTAAGGATCGTCCTCGGATTAGCATAAGCTTTTTTACTTCAAAAGCAGAATTTCAAGCCAATCTTTAGTAATATAAACTCTTCAAGCAACC